TCCTGCTGTGAAGTGGTTATCAAAAACAAGAAGGAAAAGGTTTCAGTGCTTTACAAAGGATTTGCTGTTAATTAGCTTTTGTGTACGTACACCATCAACAAAAGAAAGAAAGCTTGGTATTTGTAAAAGGTGATACGGAAGAAAAATGTGCTTTTGTTCAACTGGAAGAAAAGATGAAGAGCATTAATATATGCACACAGTTTTACCCAACCATTTCTCTGTGGGAAAGACTTGGCTAATTAGTTCCTGTTAGTAAAAAAGGGGATATATGAAAAATAAGGGGGACCATTAGTTAGGATATAAATCAATACATACATCTGATTAGACAAAGAAATATTAAAAAAAATCCCTATGCTGGTTACATCTGCCACAATATGACTGCTTATCTACCAGAAAAAGCAAAATGGTTCCCTTTCATTTTATGGATTCTTTTGCTCTTAATTATACTTTGAATGCTTGCTGTGAAAGCTGAAATGTTAGCATTTTTTTTCAAAATATAGTCATGAATGAGCTCTTCAGTTGGGCTGCTAGGCTTTGACTATGGCATCACTTTCTGGCTCAAGATATTTCATCTGGTACACAAATGAAGTTCCAGGTGCTTACTATAACATGCCAGGAAGGCAATGGTTATGCATGACCTCTATACATTTCATAGGACTAAGCCTATGAAGATAAATCTTGCAAGAGGAGTATTGTGACAAAAGATCTCAGGTGGCAGAACAGAGATAAACTTTGGAATGTGCCTCCTGGATAGAATCATGGTTAATGGTCTCATAAGGCAGCTATTTTATATATTCATTGCATCAGCAATGACAGCCCTGGGCTGACTGGCATGGAAGCTAAGCAGGACCAGCCGGATCAATCCACAAGTAGGAGATCTCCAGGGAATCCCAGTGCTGAAGGCTATTCTGGGAAGTTGAAAATCACCCTGGAAGATGGCAAGGGCCAACTTCTCCCATCCTGTTACCAAGGAAACAGCCCATGAAATCACTATAAAAGGGGACTTTAAGTTTATTTCAAATATTCACTCCTCATTCATGAAGGAGGGTAGAAGAAAACTTATAGGTTTGCTTTGGGAAATCCTACATTGTAGAGGTATCACCCTCTTCCCCTTTTCTCTTTCTTCCTGTTTATTTTCCTCTTTAGAATCAAGCCTTGGTTCTTCAGTTGAAAGAGTGTCTGAATTTTTGACTTTAAGCATGAGGCATCATTGGGCTTGCCATCACTTAAATGGTCTGGGCAGTTTATGGTAAAGTGAAATATTCTCACTCTTCCTTTATGGTAAAAGGTTCTAATATTTTTCAGTAAAGGATTAATAAACTACTTGCTCCCACATCCCTTGTCCTCCTTGTGTTACAGCACTGTACAATACGTGAGTGGACTGATGAGTTAAGAGTAAAGTGTTGGATTGAGTCATTTCCAGACATTAAGGAAGCAATCTGTCAGAAAACCCTTCAATCCTTCTTTTCGGGGCTCTGCCAATCTGATGGCGGGGGGGGGGGAAGGTTTTGCTCTGCTGGGAGGGATGTATTTCCTTTACTTTGTTCTCTCTAAACTTTGATGTATCTCTTTGGGTGTGAAAGAGGGGGAGAATGTTCCAGGGGCCATCTGCCTTATCTCCACTCTGCTGAGAGATCCGTTGAAACACCTGGGAACCATCCCTTATCAGCTCTGGTTCCCATTTCCAGATTGGCTGAAAATGAACTGGACAGTTGGACTCTGGGGTGGGGTTTGGGTAGGGGTGTTTTAATGTAACCATTTGCACTGGAATTATTTAGATCTTGCTTTGTTTTTCTGCTATCACTGTCTCCCAATAAAAGTTCCTGTTTGAAACAATGCCTGTTTCAAGAGTTCTGTTTTCTTGGGAGTACTAGCTGAGATAGGACCTTACACAATCATTATTAGATCTGTACAATGATCTGGATTAAAATGAGGGGAAAGTGAATCTACTCATGTAATTCTCTTGAAAATCATTTAAGAAAAACAGCATTTCTTTCTGGTTCTGCACAATTCTACAAAATGATTAATTTAGTTCAAGGAGATGCCACTATGTGTATGTTCATACATACTCTCAATTTCTTTTCTTGTTCAAATTTGCATTCATACCTAATCATCATTATTATTATTATTAATTTTGTTCAGTTTTATTGTCTCAGTTTGTCTTCTGGTACCAACGGGTAATGTACACTGGGAAGACAGGTGGAATGAACCTGGTAGTTATCCCACATCTTTGAGTTGCTTCCAATATCACTGAACTGGATGCCATTTGAAACCACTTATTTGTAACTGAGATTGATGGTGCTATATTGGCACTATAGATGGTAGTTCTGCAAACAAAGTCCTTGCCTTATGGCAATTACACTATAAGCTGTTGAAGATTATATTTTGAGCCTCTTTAACATACAGTGATATATCTAGGTAAAATAATTTAAAATGAAGTGATATATAATACAGTTCTCCTTTTCATTAAATTCAGATATGCTGAATATGTGTTTGAAACCAAGTATGGGCCATAGACTGCATTTTTGAGCGAAGACTTGGACTGCAAAATTCAAAATAGTCTGAAGGCAGATATGTGATGCTTTCTGTGTTAACATACTGACTATTTAAAAATCCCAGCCTTCATCACTATAGTATTCAACAGTTCAGTATTTCATGATTATCAAACAATGAGTGATAATAAAACTCATTCCCAGTACAGTTAAAATGATCATACAAAAAATGACCATAATAAGTGCATGGCAAAAGCTTGGAATAGCTAGTAAGTGGGGAACACAACAATAAGCAAGCTAGAAGCCATCTGCCAGCCTACCAAAGATTGCCAACTAATTCTGGCACAGTCTCCATTCCTCTCTTCTTTTCTCTTGGCATGTGCTTCGAATGCAGGTTTAAGAGCTGATGAGTCCATTTTCTGCCAGTTGTTCTGTAAAAGGAAATTCTTTACTGGCAAAAACTGGGACACATCTGGCTCCTTACTATTGATAGCTATTAGGAGATTATTCCTGTATTTATTCTACTTCTTGTGTTCCAAGTCTATCTGTTAGCATGGGACAGTGTATATTTCTTGTGTGTCTTCAAGTGACATCTACCGTATATATTCCTGGACAACAGTGGGGTAGGACATGTGGTATCTTACTATTAAATAAGCATACTAAAATCATCAATCTAATTCCCATTCATAAATATCAACCTTTTGGTCACTTTAGTAAAGTCCTAGCCTGATTCTATGTTCAAAAGTAAGCCATCATTACTTCAGTAGGACATATTCCTTTTGCCTGTATCTGCAAGCCTAAGCAATAGTTATAATTATGTATTTGTTCCAATGAGTGGAACGATGTCCTAGAACTGAAATATGTTGGTTTCTCTTCCTTGGTCAAATAATCTTGTATCCGGTCTTTAATAATATGCTATATGTATTGATAAACAAAGTTCCTGGGTAGGAACAGAAACAGTTAGTTTTTGGGCCAAAATAAATATATTTTAACAATGCCCATCTATATATGGTTTTCTGCGGATCTGAGCTTATTCTATTAACATATAATCTAGCTTCAGGGTCAAAAACTGTTATACAAGTACATTTGTATTTTTACTCAAAATTGTACACTGTAATATGAGACAATGGCAGGTTAGGCGTCTTAGAGGTCCTGTCAGCCAAGCAATGTCAGCTGGTAGGGACCAGGAGACATGCCTTCTCTGTCACAGCCCTGCCCTCTGGAATACTTTCTCTCCAGAAATCAGGATAATCCCAACCCTAAGATTGTGAAGCTTGGTGGTGTTCCCAGTCCTGAGGCTCTAAGTGTGTTAAAGGCTCTATTTCTTGCCTGAATTAACAACCATGGCAACAGTTTTATTTGTGTGTGTGTGTGTGTGTGTGTAAGTGTTATGATATATACCACCCAGAATCACTTGTTAAGAGGGGTGGGTATAAAAATTAAAAAATAAATAAACAAATCCCTCCAAAGCGAACGGCGCTGCTAGCCCAGGTGGGTTGCGTGGCCCATTTGCATATGCATGAATGGGGCCACTAGCCACCATAGGAGGTGTGTGGCTGTTTGCTCATATGCACGGTGCCAGCGCATGCCGCATGCGCAAATGGGATTGCTAGTGCCGCACCAGTGTGCGTGGCCCTGTGCATACATGCATGCACCAATTCTGAAGCTGCTCTCCTTTCCTCCGGTCCATGAGCCCAGAAAGTTTGGAGACCTCTGCTCTAAAGAACTATCAGATAAATAAGATAAATCCTTCAATATTTTCAGAAACAATTTTTTTACTATTATATCTAAATACAAGTAATAAAAAATTACATTTTACAAGATGATGTTGATCTAAAGAAAAAGAAACTTCAGCAAACTTAGGGTTAGTGCAGAATATTTGAGGCAGAAAATCACATTAACCAGTTTGATTAGTTTGGGACATATAACCGGAAAGGATCCATTCTATTTTTCAGTCTCAACTCCTGGCAACTGCATGGACAAGTTCCTGCAGTTGTCTTGGTAAGATTTCAGAAGTGATTTGTTTTTGCCTGCTTCCTAGGCTGAGAAAGAGTGACTGGCCCAAGATTACCCAGCTGACTTTGTGCCTAAGGCAGGACCAAAACTCACTGTCTCCTGGTTTCAAGTCTAATGTTTTAATCACTACACCATTCTAGTTCTCATGAAGAATACTTATACATTTATTTATACTGATGCTGTTGCAACACATTTTGTTCTACCCTCCTCCCCTACCAGTAGTGTAGTTTGAACACAGGCTATGGAATCTCTAAAGGACTCCAGCCTGCCTTACACAATATCATTTAAACCCCCACTAAAATTATATTTTTAACATTCAAAGGTTAAATTTATTTAATTCAGTAAGCATGAATAGTATAGAAAGTAACCCCAAAAGACTTGAATGGATGGGTACAAATTTAGAGTCCCGCTCATTAAACTGGGTGATGTGATTAGCTTACTTCTTACAAAGAAAGAACAAAAAGAACAAAAAGTTGGGATGGCTGATGTTACCTAGCGTGCTGGAGTAATGTGGACTGGCGTGTCCACGGATAGTAAATGCAGTCATGCCTAGTGGGGCCTCTACACCTGCAGGCAATTACAGAACAGAAAAGATCATTCACCATTCACAGGGGCCATGCACACACACCAGCACCTTTGCACACACATGGAACATGGGAAGTGTGGCAAGAGGAGCAAGTGCTCAGCAAGTACCTATCCAGGAAACCGATGCAGTCCTCGAGGCGTGGGCCCACGCATCTGCCGCAAATCCAGGGGAAGGTGGGGGAAGGGAGAAGAGAGAAAAAGAAAACATGCATTAGGCATTTTATAGGCAGAAGAATCATCATCTTCTTCTTCTTCTTCTTCTTCATCATCATCAATCCCCCTTCCATTTTCTCTTTCTCCAAAATAGTTGATTACAATATTCCATCCCTCAATTGTCATGAAGCCGTTGCTTCAAATGTTTTTCAGTTCAAAATGCCTCGTGTGATGCTCTGCTGTTTGTAAAATTGCAAGGCTAAATCACTGTGAATACAAATTGTGATTCTTCAGTTACTTACCTCAGAACAGGTAATTGTGGATTTGTGTAAAAATGATCAGAGCCAAGTTTTACCTGCCAAGGCAAGGATCTACATGGTACCTTAATACAATGGCGCAATAAATTCAATCATTAGTGACTGTAGTACGGTTATGGCTTAAAAGATAACAATTAACATTTTCTCTATTTCAAGGGGCATAACTACCATTCAATTATGCAGATTCTATAAAGGCTTGATAAAAAGTAATTATGTTCACCCAGTGTGTGTATTTATTAATTGATCAACTGATTGATCACATTTATAATACTACCAAACTCCATTAAGTGCTCTGTACAGCATACAACATTTAGTAAGAAACAACATAACAAAGATAAGAAGTATCTTTGTGTCAAGAAGAATAAAACCATCAGATTAACATGTAAAATTATACCAAAGGCTCACCACTCACACTAATCAAAGGCCTGGGGAAAAACCAGGTTATTAAGCACTTTTTGAAGATAGTCCCATAGGGTTCTAAGGAGGATATTGTTACAGAGGGCAAATGCAGCAACATGAAAAGGCCCGCTTTCTTAACCCCCATCAGGTGATATGGTTCAATGAGCGTGATGCAAATCAACTCTTGTTGGATTGTACAGGACAGACAAAAATGATCAGAGATAGGTAGTCACCCAGGCACCAGGTTTTATAAATAAAGGACTTTATTTGTGGTAACCCAGCATTTTGAATTGCATCTAAAAACTAACTGGTAACCAGTGCAGTTCATGGAGCAACAGTATTACACAGGCATAGTCTGGCACACCCATTACTGTCTGCATTGATGCATTCTGGACCAGCTGCAGGGATATTCAAGGGTAACCTCATGTACAACACTTTGGAATAGTCCACACATAAATAACTTGTGACCAAGGCACAAGTTATTGTTTTGATAGGTGGCCTCTCCAGTCCAGGAACAGGCCCAGCTAACATACAAGATGGCTCTGTGCAATAGCCATTTGGCAAGAGCTGTCACCTCCAGATTATATACCACTCCTGAATGGGGAAATGCAAACCCGCCCAAAATTAAATACCCACAATGGCTCAAATGCTAGGGTTGAGCTCGAGTTTGTTCCTATCCATCCTGATCCTCATAACCTGTATACATGGGGTGGGCAGTTAATTTTCCCAAGGGGCCACATGAAAAACTGGGACTGTTGTGGAGGGCCTCTGCTGCCACAATCCACCCCACACCAGAGGTCGAACAGGGATAGACAAAAGCCCAAATGTGGCCCGCAGGCTGTAAAATGCCCAAGTCTGCTCTAGACCCTGGCATCTAACAGCAGCATTTGGACAGCCCAGAATCAACATGTAAAAGAGTGTATCATCTTATGCCATCAAATGACTTCAGCCAATGGCCTCATGTAGCTATTACATGGAGTAAAAGCATCAAGCTTTGAAGCATCTCACAGATTAGAGACCTCAGACTCAATCTCTCCTTTCTCCCACCAACCAGAGCTACACCCAAAGAAAGGGCACCCCTCTCACCAGGGAATCTTGGATCTAACAAAAAGGCAGTGGGTTCAAACATCCCAGCTAAACTTGCAAGGCTATACCTCAGGTATCTTAATAGGACTTGTCCAGTCACAGTGGAACTATGAGCAAATCTCAATCTATCAGATAGCTAGAATATTCCTATAGGGGTCCTTCAGATGATGCTATGACTTGTTCCCCAACAAGGAAGGAGAAGGAATGGATCGTCTTAAATATAGCTGATGAATGACCATCATTCATTCTAGGCTATAATAAGGCTTTGCCTTAATGCCCATCAGAACCTCAGAGAAAACTCCACGTTCCCTCTGAAGCTATTAGTTGCCTGGGACAGAAAGATCCATTAGTTTCCTTGGACAGAATGCTCTAATGAGTCCTAGTCTCTCTGCAGCCTGAAGTAACATCAGCAAGCCAAAAGGCAATGATCTTTCTTTCATGGGTGAAGATATTGCACTCCACTATCAAATAACATTGCAACTACTCTGAGATAAAAGCCAGATTTAGTATGCCCTCAGCAATGCAAGATAGGCTCTTAATTATGTGGATACATGGTTTGCCATGAACTCCTGAACTGCCTCAGACTATATCCTGCCATGGGGTAAGTTAAAATTCCCAAGAACTAGTAGCCTTAGGGACCTAGCTGCTAACCCAGTAACAAATTTAAGCAAATCAGAAAAGATGCTGCTGCATAGCAGAGAGACGAGTATAAGAGCAACAATTGTCCTATAGAGTTTAACTATCAGCCAAAGGATCTCACATCCAATTACATGAACAACAGAGCTTCTGAAAGCCATCAAGATTTCTTGAATGACAGGTGCATCTCAGTCAACCCCATGCCTAGGTTCACAGTTGATCTGGGCTCATAAATCAAGCACTGGATGAAGTTCTCATTCTTTTGAGATCTTCAGATACAATCTTTATTTTTTCTTTTTTGGCACAAAAATGTTTTTCGTATGCATCCTGGAAAGACACAATACCCATGAGAATGAGAAAGCCTCGTGGTACACCAAATGAAATATGAATTCCTCTTCAGCATCACATTGAGTACAAAAATATCATCAGGAATTCCTTTCCCTCTCTTGAAATCTAAAATGCTCTGATGAAAGAAAGGGTTTTCGGCCTACTTTTAGGGGATCCTAAACAAAGGCCTTTGCTTTGGTGCCAAGCCTACCAGTCTGTGTTTATAGATGAAATATCTTCTTGGAAAGTTGTTTACAAGGCTGGTAGGGAATGATGTGGCAATGACACTGTGCACTTATTGAACAGGCTTTTTTATATATTAATTTCATTCCAGTTGCCAAGCTACCACAGGGAATTAAAGATTATATAGAGAAATATTTTGACTTTTTTCACCATCATTCCAATTCTGAATGAAGCCAGACATCCCATCCTATCACAGTCACCGTTTCCGTTTATTCTAAAAAAAGCCATGAAGAAGAAAAAATATGAATAAGAAAATAAAATGAAGGTAAATTAATTTATTCAGGGCACAGATCACTAAAACCTTGAGGGCAAGGACAGGAGAAATAAGGCAAAAAACCACCAACACCTCAGATATGCATTATAACTACTTAAAGTCCCCCATCAACACTGAACGGCACATTGACACATTTTAAAGGAGGTGTATTTATAAGAATAGCTTTTAAAAAAATAGTCACACACTTATTTTACTTAGCTACTAGCATTAATACAACCAGGTGATTTTTAATGATACCTGTAACCTGCTCTGAACAAGATAATATGTTTGCTTCATGTTTAATATAAAAATCAGAAAGTTATTATGAATCACATTTGATTTATCAAAAGCCAAAATGTATGTTTCAGAATATATTTTTGCTTCTATTTTACAGTAGGTGCTTAGAAGAGACAATTGACAAAGTTCATTTTTTCATAGCTTGGTAGCTTGGCAACCCTCCAAAATGTATGTGTAATTTTATTAGAAGGAGTTATCAGAATAAAATGTCTGTAGAAGAAACATCAGAAGCATGATTTCATATATATATGTATTATTGCCCAGATGCATTCACCACAGCCTGCAGAAATTTCAGGAGAAAGCCACTAGGGACAAGGTATTGATGAATAAGATATTTGCCTGGAATAATTTTCTGCTTTATCCACCTGAACTTAATTTAAACTCACCAATGAATTTAAGCCAATATTTTTTATTGTTACTACTTGTATTTTTAACAATTAATACAAAGACATGTATTAAGTAAAGATTTTTTCCACTCCTATTGCAATGACAGAAGGGTGCAAAAAATTCCAGTTGTTACATTTCTTTATTTCCAGATGTTTTTAAAGTTCAAGGAGAGAACTAATATTATTTTAGGCACTTATATTTAACATTAAATATATGTTAAGCCATAAAAAAACTATCTTCCATTATTAAGCCCCTCTGAAATGCCTTTTTTTCTTCCCAGTAGGAATACTAATTTTTAACTGTATAACCCAGATTTTAAAGGGCCAAATACAAGTTAAGTCTACCACAAATTCTGGTATATCTTTGCATTCTTAGTTTAATTTCCCAAAAAGCTCTGTTGTAATTAGATCTGCAAAACCAGCAAAAGGTCTCATTTTGAATGGCAACAGCTGTTGACATCAACATTTTATTGAATTATTTACTGCTTTAATTTTAGCAGCAAAACAATACAAGCCTCTTGTGAATTATTATTTTACAAAATTAATTTGTTGGTTGTCTCTTGGTTTTTGTTAGAAATTGTCCAACAGACTCATTGCAGAATAACTTGAATGGTCCATATTAAATGTTCAGAAGTCACACAACTTCAGCTGCTGGCATGCCATGCTTCACTTATTGTAGTGATAAAAAAAAAATCTTCTTTGGATTTGAAAATGTTCTCTATACCTTCTGTGCTGTGGCCAAGATAATAGCACAGGCACTTCTATGAAATCACCAGGAATGAAACTTGATTTGAAAAAGATGTTGTTATTATATGTCAAGTGCACCATGGCAGAACAGGTTCTGATGGTTGAGAAGTTTATGGAGGTATGGTAAAATAGAAATCAAGTTATTTGTTTTCTTTCTCTGATAACTTTTTATTTTTGTTTAGTCTACAATACTTAAAGAAAGAAGGATTCCCAACTAAGAAAAAAGGGCACAAAACTCACAAGTGTTGACAGAGAAGAAAAGCTTCCATAAACTACAATCCCCTCTAGCTTTCTTAGCCTGTACTTTGAGAAAGAATTCACAATAGTTAGAACTTGCAGGTTACTTTCAGCACTGTTTTAAAAATATTCTGATTTCCATTTCCAAATGTGGCTAATACTGACTGAATTATTTGTGCACCCTTTTCTAATCAACACATTTGGCTGATACCTGGATCAAATTCAGCAAGCTTTTTTTTAAAAAAAATGATTCATTCAGAAAGTACTCTTACAAAAGGGCTTGGTTCTTCAAGCACCAGCATTATCCTTTGAAATGTATTCCATTGAAGTCTTCTGGAAAAGGGTACTTTGTTTTAAATAGTGTTTCATGACATCTGCTGTGTGAACATTAATGCCAAAACATGGTAATCAGAACCAAGGAGAAGGATCTTGAATAAATACGAATGAGATCCTGTATCTGTGCCAATTTTCATCATAAGAAGCATTGGGAATACTTCCACACAAGGGGCATTGATAGAAAACAAGAGCCATTTTAATAGATTTAGGAGAGGAGTATTAAACACAAGTCATGTATCATAAGAACTGAAGCGGAAATGTAATCACGGATGCCTAAAAGCAAAACTTTTGCAGATTATTTGGTTGCCAGATATAATGGTTTTCTATTTTGATGATACTTTATTCAATTAATATGGTGCTGTTACTGAAGAAGGAAAAAAACAATATAGGTGTGGATGTTTCACTGCCTTTATAAAGCTATTCTAACCAACACTAATTCAACTTCACTAACTTTAGGAATTAGAATTAGCTGAGGATGTGAAAGTAGGAGGAAGACTGGGGGAAGGTGATGACATAATACCTGAGTTCTTCTTGTCAAGGGAAACTATTGTAAAGCTGAAGATATTCAAACTCATATCTTTGACTTTATAAAAGGATTAAAAAACACAGAGTGACGTGAGTTGGAAATCATGGTAGGAGAAGTTACAAAGAAGAGGATTGAGGAGAATTCTTAAACAAAGTTCAAACTTTTGAAAAACATATTAAAAGCAGAATTGAAAATAATTCTAGTGTACAAAAAAAATGAAGTAAAGCAAAGCCAGTGTGGCTAAATAAAAAAAACTTAGTGAAGATCTGAAAATCACATACAGCAAAAAGGTAAAAGCGCCAAGCTGTGAAGGAAGACCACAGACAGATCATCTGACACTGCAACACTAGTGTCAGGATTCTAATGGCAAAAAGGGTTTGTGGGGGATATGTTCAAAAAGAAAACGGAAAGATAAAGATTGGTACATCAGCTGCTCAATAAAAATGGCAAAATGCTAATACAGTGGATGCAATAGAGAAGGCAGAGACATTGTATTCACTTTTTACTTTGTTTCAGCCTTGTTTAACAAACCTAGGTGTTCTATTCAGAAACTGCAGAGAACAGAATGGAAGGACAGAATTAAAGCTAAGGACATTTAACTGTAGCTTTTTAACTTTTAACAAATCCTATCTTTATTTTCAATTAGTTTAAGACCAGATGAACTGCATCTTAAAATACTAAGAAAACCTGGTTGATGGTGTGGCCATATCCTTATATACTTTCCCAAATAATTCTGGAGAATTGACAAATTGATGGATGACTGGAGCAAATGCCCCCTCTTCAAAAAGTGATAAAAAAAGATTCAGCAAACTTCAGGCCCAGTCAGTATGACATCCAGGCTTTGGATGATTCTGGAGCAGATAACAAAAAAAAAAAAAACCACACAAAAAAGTATGGAAGTATCTTGAACATGGTGTAGTAATTAAAAGAGGTCTGCATAAATTTGTCAAGGGAACAAGTGAGGCTGCTACTCCTGCTGCTCCCAAGTTTATGTTTCTTGGAGATTTTAACTTGCACCTGGGCAGCATTAAGACTGGGGCCCCTCAGGACTTCAGCAAAGTATCTGACAAAGTACTCCAAGACATGCTTATTATTCACTGTGGGTTGGATGACATCACAAGTAAGTAGATTAAAAGATGGGTTGACATTTATATTCATGGAATGTTCATTGATAATTCCTCATCAATTTGGAAAGAGTGTCTAAACGAAGTACCACAACAATCAGTCCTGGATCATCTACAGTTCAACATTTTTATTAATGATTTGGATGAAGAGGTAGAGGGAATCCTTATTAGATCTGTAGGTAATATAAAACCCATGGATGCTAGATTGAAAAATTGGGCTGACAGTAACAGAATTAAATTTAGTAGGGATAAGTATAAAGTTCTTCACTTATGAAATAAAAATCAAATGCACAACTATTGGATTGGGAATTCTTGGTAGCACTCAGTGTTAAAAAGATTTTCCATTTTTAAATTAATAGCACTTGATCGCATTTAATAAGAGCCGGAAGTATGAAGTGGCTGCAAAAAAGACAAGATTTATTTTAGGCTGCATTAACAGAAATATAATTTCCAGTTCATGGGAAATTATTCCACTCTATTATGCTTTGATCACACCCCATCTTTGATATCATATCCAGGTCTGGCATCATATGGCAAGAAAAATTCATAGAAATCCTTAAACCAATTCAGAGAAGGGCAACAAAGATGACTGGATTACTAGAAATGAATTTAATGATTCCTTCCAACTTTAAGCTTCTATTTTTTTTACTGATAAATTTCTTATTTATATATCATAGTTGATTTGTGAAATCCAATTAAAAGGTTTTGCAAAAGGAGGGGGCAATTTTCTTTTCCAGTTAACACTAACCCCAGCCTCCAAATCTTGAGGCTTTGCAATACAAAGAGAAATAGGATGGAAGAGAAGGTGTGCATCCTTTGGTGCCACGGTGAATTAGGCCAGGTTTGCATTGCATTGCATTTTATAATAACATAAGGAAAAACAGGGATTCAGTCCATTTACCTGTTTAAACTTGTGTATTCAAAAATTATAACCATTTGTACATACATTACACAGATACAGAGAGATAAAAGGGTCAACTGTGACCTTCACCTTCACATGCAAGGGACCTGATGTTCAGTTAAAAAGCAAGGCAGGATATCTTTACCACATTTATTCTCTATTCAAACATGAATGCAACTCTTCATGTAACCTATCTGTCTTCTTCATTAAGGTCACATGGAAAGTAGCACTATCCTTCTAGGGAAGGTAGATCTACTCACTTTCCTATCTCCCAGCTGAACATAAAGACAGTTGGGGAGGGCTACATTCTTAATATGCTGAGGCAAACACACACTAAAACATACTTTTGCTCTTTTAGTGCGGATGATCTTTATTGCCTGTTTCCCCCATTCCAGCAAAAGAGAGAAAAGGGACTGTAAAAGGTGTGGTAACTCAGACTCCAAGAGAGTATTACAATAAAGATATTGGTCTATCATCATCTTAGCTTTGCCATCCATAGAGACATACTGAAATACTTGGGGATAAAAATGCAGTGTTCTAGAGATTAAGTGGTACAGAAAAATGGCTTGAAAGTATCACATGTAGCAAAGATTTTTTTAAACATATGTACAGTAAATGTAAACTTACCCTTGGGTACAATTTGGGTGACAAGAACGACATTCACGATCCTCATCCGCATACTTGAATATGAAGCTGTTTGTCCCCTGTACACCATCAGGACATTTTTCAACACAGTTGGGGCCATCTTTAAAATGAAAGCATTTGGTACAATGATCTGGTCCCTATATAAAAAGAAGAAACATAAAATGTCCACATTTCTTTTTCAGTTTGGAGATTCCCCAAGAGCTTCTAAGAGACATCAAGTAGTATAATATTTGACATAGGATGCATTACTCACATTGCCTTAAGACTTATGTCAGGAGTTTTCACAAAGGCAGATTATTGTTATACTTTATTAGATGCTATCTGTATTTCTTTTCAGCCCATGCAAAACTTTCATGGGAGCATGCATAGCTTCAACACAGTTTTGTCACTAAGATTAGAACTAGAATCAGAGACACCCAGGTTCAAATCCATTCTGAGCACAATATGTTTAGGTGGTGATTTTGGGAGAGCCATATACTCTTAGCCTAATCTAATACACAAGATTGTAACTTTAGGGACAATTAAGAGGAAAGAGTGCATTGTACATTGTCCTGAGCTCATAGAAGAAAGGGATGGATATAAACCTAGCAAATAAGGAAAATTAATAAATTTACAAAGCAAGAAAGGATAAAAAACAGAAAACAAATCTGTCTTCTATAACAACCAGCTTATATGTTGGATTGTATATGGATTGTACTTACAGCCCCCCTACAAGTTATTCTGTTTCCATCCATCTTCTCACACTGCAGATCACATTCCACACAAACTGAACCATTTGCAAATTCTCTGTATTCCCTGAGAAATAACAAGCAGTTTAGAAATACCAGAAGTTATAGAATCAGGGAGCAACTTCAGTTTCTGACATGATTATTTATTCTTCTAGCAAAAGTGCTTATTCCCCCAACTATACCTTCTCTTTGTTAATTTTCTAATTACATCCCATCCCTGGATTAACATGCAAATGTCACATTTGGCACATCCAAAAAAAGAAACTCCTGGCATGTAGGAACTACCAAGACTAAAACTTTATTGAAAGATCCATTTAGGCACAGCAGAAGCAAAGTCAGCTCTGAGGTTTCCCTGCGAAAACCCACATAGGTAAAACCCCCTTTTCACCCCTGGACCACCCACAGTTCATTGTCCACCAATTACACTCAGTACTTTTGTTTTGGAAAACAATCTGCTCTGGCTGGCAGCACTGAGAACTTGGCTTTGGTGGGTATCTCCTCTCTGGCGGCAGATGGCTCTCATGCATTCCTTATCCCTCCCCCCTCCCTAGAAATTTACCAACCCCCCTCATGTTCAGCAAACTGCAAGCTGAAGGCTGATGTAGGAAACAAAGAAAGCGAGTCAGCTTTGAAAATATGCACATAAATGCACTGCTAAGTTTTATTCACTGTTTGTAAAAGCAAGGATATTAAAATATTTCATATTATTTATACAAACATGCAGTATGCCCTTGTTGATTGAGATCCACTCAGAGTTCAATATAAAATGGGAAGCTATATCAGTATTTTAAATAATAAATAAATAAACATTCTGGAGATGGAAAAACACATCTATTGAAATAAAGAGACATATTTTATACATATCTGATCTAATTGCAACCACTAGGGTTTCCTCTATCTCTGATGGCTTCCTTGGTACACTTGAAAGACCTCTAACAAATTACTCCTTTGTGAAAGTAAGAAAAAAAATCATCTAAAAACGCTGCTTGCACAGAAATAATGGGGAAGCTGAAGTTATATAAATCATATATTTGGAAGCGAAAACAGTTGTCAGTGTTAAAGTGGTGTTATTAGTGGGAACAGCACTTGGATGTTCATTTCCTCTTCTTTCATCCTGGGAATAATTGCAGGGGTTGTACAGAACACCAGGCATGCATATAACCTACTGACTCAGCATTCAAAGCTAGAGTGGTCTATTAGCTACCTAGTTGTTAAAGACAATCAGATGAAAAGAATCATACTGTTGAGATGCTAGAGTTCTTCTACGTGTCCCACTGAGTCTCCTAGGTAAATTGGAACTATAATCAATTGTAGACAGGGGACTAATATCATAACCCAATATTTTTTTGGTCTCAGAAATCTAACATTATGGAAAGATCAAGAAGTATCTGTGAGTCTGTGCCTTCCCAATTGAAGTAATTTGTTACTGTGGGGACACCATGTAGTATAGATTAGTTTATAAAAAGACCCGTAGATCAACTTATCTAAGATTAAAATTCAGTGCAACAGGGATTAAAAAGTGTCATATATTAATATCCTAATATTGGCAAAGAATTAAAAATTACATTACTAAAATTACTACTAACATATTTGACATTTGACTACATATGGCGATGACAGTAGAACAGAATTCAGCAAACGTCAGTGTATTAACTGAGGATTGATAATAATGATTCTTTATTTTACTATTACTATTACATCTGATTAGAAATGGTATTATTAGGCCCAAATGGAAATATATATAAAAGGAGCAACCCAGTAATCAAGACCTAGATGTCTCTATTTCTTCAACTTTCAATGGAAATTTTTTAATAATGGCATCACTAAAATCCCTGCTTCCAATTCTTCTGCAAAAAATGAAGAAAATGTTATATGAGAGTAGTAGTGGATGTTTGTGAGGAAATTATTGTGAACTTCATTAATTATGATGCTGACTGTTATTGCATTATTTTGTTGGAAAAAGAAAATTCTCAAGAAAAATATAGTTTGTTTCCATGCAATAGATTCACAATATAGCATGCTGTAATTTAGCTTCAATCAGGTCTTTGGCTTTCTTGGACTGTATCTGACCTGTTTTCCAATTGGTAGAATTAGTGTTTTTGTCAGCTCCAAGTTTTACAGATTACTCTCAGTCTGTGACTCTTCTGCCCTCAGAACAGTGGAAGTGGGTTCCATCCTCCTTTGTTTTCTGGCTCCTCCCAGGGGGTGCTAGAGGCTTTGCCCACAGAGCAGGTCTTTCCGATTTCACATTGTCTATCACCTGTACATTGTCCCTAGCAGCTGTCTCCTTGCTTTGCAGCTGTTAAGGAGAGATGTGCAATTTTGTTCTCACTCCCAAATATCAATGAGAGTTTCTTTTTGGCTGACTGACACCATATGGTAATATCTCTATTCTGTAGGCTTTTTCAATGTACAGATATTATCATGTTGTTAAAGGTAAGCACTCCATATCCTTCAGGTGGGGAAAGACAGAAAGGAATGCTATTTTTAGAGTTTTAAGAGTTATGATAAGAATGTGTGGCTTGTCATTCATCCACTCTGTCTCTCCACCAGCATGAAAGTGGCCACCACAGTGCAACTAAAAGTGCCTGGCTTATGGTGAACCAGAGGTAGAAAGGAAAAAACAAGGAGGACATTTATGAAGCAATAGATTAAGACTGTTTGGAATTCTATTCTGCAATAAGTGGTGGGTTGTTTATTTTTTTTGTTTTTTGCAGAGCTGCTCTTCTAAATTCAAAGGAATTCAGCTACAATTATAGCTAGTAAAATTTTGCAGAAAGGTTTTTACTGCAGATCCTGAAAAGAAAACTCTCTCAAAGAAATTGTTTGGATTACAGATACTAATTTAGTTTTCTTTTATATATCTTTTGGATAAAAACTCTCTTTTCTAGCCCTTACATCAAAACAGCAGTTAAGTACAGCATTTCACATACATGTACATCAAGAAGAATAAGAAATGGGAAAATCAGAAACTGATAAAAACAGTTTTGTAAGACTATCAGTGAGGAAGTGACATGGGTAGAAGAATAGGGAATTTCCTTTCTAAATGCAGATATTGAAAAGGGTTTCTTTCATACTAGAGGGCCCTGGAGTTGACCTCAATAAATGGCATGAGGAAGTTTTCTCATAGGTTTTCTCTTTTCTCAAATTCAGATACCACTAAGAGCAGTTGGAATTCTACTGGAAAGAAATTGAAAGCTATGTATATTTGTATATTGATAAATGTGCTGCAGCATTCTGGCCCAATTTTAGCTTCCATATATTCTTCAAAGGTGGTCCTGTGTAGAGTGCAATGAGCCAGTTGGAATAAAATAGACCAGATCAACATTCTTAAAAGACGTTACTGGTTAATCAAGCTCATCTTGGTAAAAGCACCCATGGCTACCAAGAACATCTAATTCAAGGACAGAGGGGATAAAAAAAAATCTACAAAACAGTATTTTCAAAGGGAGTGCTATCCAACTCATCAGAAGTTGAATTCCAAATCTGAGATCAAGTCTACTGATCGAGAATAATGTAGTAAGACCACATCTGGAATACTGCAACCAATTTTGGTGACCATACTACAAAAAAGATGTTGAGACCTTGGGAAAAGTTCAGAGAAGAGCAACTAAAATTATCAAAGGCTTGGAGACTAAAACATATGAAGAACATCTGCAAGACTTGGGTTTGGCTAGTCTAAAGAAACAGGGGTAACATGATAGCAGTATTCCAGTATTTGAGGGCAGAAAGAAGAGGGCATCAAACTATTCTCCAAAGCACCAGAGGTCAGGACAGGAAACAATGGATGGAAACTAATCAATGAGAAAAACAACCTGGAATTAAGGAGAAACTCCCTAACAGTGAGGACAATTAACCAGTGGAACAGTTTGCCTTTAGAAATCGTGAGTGCTCTATCACTGGAGATTTTTAAGAAGAGATTGGACAGCCACTTGTCTGATATGGTATAGGTTCTCCTGCTCGAGCAAGGGGCTGGACTAGAAGACCTCCAAGGTCCCTTTCTATTCTATTCTATTCTATTCTATTCTATTCTATTCTATTCTATTCTATTCTATTCTATTCTATTCCTTTTGTCATTTCAGAATTCAGTTTCATTTATTAGATAATTTCCAATATATTATCTCCAGACAATTAATTATGAACTTGACAGTCTCCTTGGAATGTGATGGAAATGTATATTGCTGACACTGAAACCTCAGATCCAAACTATTTCTCATAATTGACTATTCTCCACTGTTTAACCCCCAGCCTTATCTGGTGTCCAAAATTGTTGTGAGCACAAACTAGGTTTAAAGCTGCATTGAAATGGTTTGAGGCAGTTTCACCTCCTCCCCCCCAACAAGGGAATGTGAAGTTAGAAGTTAGAATAACAGATTTGGATGGGACCTTGTAGGTCATCTAGTCCAAACCCATATGCATTCAGGAGACTGAACCAGATAACCTCACTAGTTCCTTGGGACTTCCTTTTGACAGAGATCAAACTTCTCCAATCTGTTGCACAACATCTCCTATCTAAAGTACCAGTCAACTCTTTTATATAGTGTTGCTGCTTTTCAGCCTTCCATTTAAAACACAAGGACTGGACAAGCTTTTTCCTTGTTCCAGCTTGGTGTCTTTCAAAAGAATGACCAATTGTTTTGCCTCGTGGCCAAGCTTACCCATCCCCTGCAGTCAATGCTCTAGTCCAGTTCCATACAATTATATATGTAACTTTTCAAATTGAAATATCTTAGTTAGATTATTTTGCATGATTCTCCCATAAAAGATGCTGCTGACTAGCACAAGTTATGATTACCAGTTGCTGCATGACAGATGGCTTCTTCTATTACCAAAACATAAAAAATAGTAATTTCAAACCTGTGAAGATATTTATATAAACACATGCACACACACACAAAGCCTACAGGGAAAAATGACTTACCCTTCATAAAGGTGACAAGACTTTACACAGGTTTTTCCTCTGATGAAGTGTTTACATGATAAACACTGATCTGGCCCTGGCCCCCAACATCCATTTTTTGAGCATAAATGGCTGCATATCATCCCTTCTGCAGCTGTAAAATAAAGGCAGGCACAATCATTTATAATAAGCAGTGTGCTAAACAGCACGTACAATGCTTAGCTCTATCACCAACACTTAAATCCATACATTAAAAATGGGAGGAAGAGACAGGAGAAATTTCTTCTTGCTTTAACTAAGGTTGCGCTTGGGCCGGTACATTAAAATATTCTGCTTATGGTTACTGGATTATTATCAGCAGTAGAAAAAGATTACAAGAACCCACCTCTTCAGAGGATTATTTAATATTACTCATCAATACTAATAACATTTTAAATTGAGACAGTGCAGATTTTTTTTAATGTGATATGTAATCTGTGATTATTTTAAATGGTTTAAAATTTGCTATGGCATGAAATGATCTACTAATTGAAATGTTATTTCCTAATTTCTTTAACTAAACATTTATGTCTAGAGAGCAGAAGGCTTAGAATTAACATACTGTATCATCCTGGATAATAAGAATGTATTAGTGGCATCATGAGCTGTTTCAAAAATATTGCTGAAGAATTTTTAGGTGGAGATAATATAGAAACAGATGGAATATGGTTGACTAAAAGTCATAAAAGAGAATTAAGTTATTATAAAGGTATTCAGAATTTTTCCTTTACTCATATTGCCACTGAGGTAATAATTGTTGTTTTATTCATTGGCATACAGTATATATAATATTCTACACAGAAGGAAAAAAAATAGAAAACAAAAACAAAAAATGTGAAAATAAAAGATAAAAAAGAATTGATGAATAAAACAAGTTTTAAGATTAAGAAGTAGGTAAAATAACTGGGTATCACTATGGCAAACATGAATTGTATGTTATTTCAAAATAAGACATGGAATGACATTAAAAAAGACATTTTAAGATGAGAGAAATTACAAGTGTCATTCTTGGGAAAAATTCTGTGATAAAAATAAATGTCTTGCCAGAATGGTATTTAGTAAAGAGTGACTATTGCTGAGAAATAGAAGGCTTCTGGAGTTAGAAGAACACAAACTGAGATTTATGGATATGACAAAGTCAAGACTAATTTGGATTTTAAAAATCATTATGTTAAGACATGCCAAACTGAGAATATGGAATAGATACAAACCCAGATTGTGCCCTAAAATACCTTTGGGATTCTCAATACAAGAAGCAACAATATTGCAAACTAGTGCCAAAAGTGTTGTAAAATTGACTCTTGACATGAGGTTCTTTCACTTATGACCATAACTGTAATTTATAACCAGGAATCCAGACCCAATTGCAGTTGTAGGTAGACACAAAGACAGAAAAATTCGGCACTACTCATAAAGGAGGAAAGGATAGTGGAGATGATGAAGTTGCTGAGAGGACTAAATTGATTCTTTCATCAGAGAAAGGATCATTTAATCCTTATCTTCTTTTTTAACATTTTTAATAAAATGTTCAGGCTTGGAGGGATGTTGTTCATGGGGTCGCGATGGGTCGTCACAACTTCGCAACTAATAACAACAATAAAAAATATGAAAAATTAGAAAATAAACAAAGAGTACTTCCCAGATTTTGATATGAATAGTTACTGGAGATAAGATAGGAGAAAATATTAATCTGTAAGGATGCAGTCGGGAAAGCTAAGGCTCAGAATGAACTAAGACTTGGAACAAATGCCAAATATACAAAAAAACGTTTTTTCAATATAAGTAACAAGAAGAAAGTCAAGGACATAACTGGTCCACTAATGGGAGAAAATGACAAGAAGGTGATGGATATCAGGGAAAAAGTGGAATTGCTTAATTCCTTCTTTGCATCTGTCTCCACACAAAAGAAAAAAATAGTCCAACTTATCAAAAGTTGTGAGACATAACAGGAATACAGGTCAAATAGGCAACAAATTGGTAAGAGAACACCTATCTGCTCTAGATGAATTCACTTTTCCAGGACCATATCCCAGGATTCTGAAGAAGCTGACAGATGTGATCTCAGAACCACTGAATATAATATTTAAAAACTCCTGAAGCATAAGGAAACTGCCAGAGGACTGAAAAAGAGCCGATGTGATTCCAATCTACACAAAGGGGGAAAAGATGGATCCAGGAAAATACAGATCAATCAGCCTGATATCAATACCTGAGAATATCCTGGAAAAGATAATCAAACATCACATTTGTGAGCATCTAGAAATCAAAAAGGTGATTACTAGAAGCCAGCATGGGTTTATTAAAAACAGATCACATTAGACAAACCTTATTGCCTTCTTTGATAAAGTGACTAAATTAGTGGATCAGGAAAGTGCTGTGGACATAGTTTATTAAGATGTCAATAAGGCATTTGACAAAGTAGACACAGTCCATTTCTCGATAAGACAGAACAATGAGGAATAGTCAGTACCATCACCAAATGGATTCATAATTAGCTGACCAACCTCACCCAACATGTAATCCTCAATGGAACTTCTACATGGAGGGAAACATGCAGTGGAGTACCACAAGGTTTTGTCTTGGGGGCAGTAATCTAGATAAGGGAGCTCATCAAATTTGCAGATGACAAGCTGGGGGAGAGGGGGATTACTAACACTTTTGAAGATAGACTCCAGATTCAGAAGGATCTTGACAGATTCGAGCATTGCTGCTCAATAGTGAAAAAGTAAGAGTCTGCACTGTGCTTTTCAAAAGGCAACTGAACTTTGTTTTTCCCTAAAAATGGTTCACTCTTCATTCAAGAAGTTTCTTCAGTTCAGTTCACTTCTTCAGAACCAAAGAACCTTCTTGAATGAGAAGTGAAACATTTTCAAAGAAAAAAAAACCCCAAGAAAGTCCAGTTGCCTTTTGGGACACTAGCATATTTGTGACAATCATGACCTGGATGATTGAGAATCTCCATATGACAGTAAGGGTCTGCACTTAGGCAGGAAAAAACAAATGCACAAGTATATAAGCTGTAAGCAGCTTTCCAGACTAACATTTTATTACAGCACACACACTTTTGCGACTTATATCTACAGTATTGCTCATGAAAGCTTATGACTTTTAATAAAATTAATGGCTAACATGGGTCTTCTCTTGCAATCATTATTCTTTGGGGTATGCTTTTCTGTATTTTACTGGTAAGAGTTTAAATTCCTACATGTGGAACAAAGAATGGACTGAAGATGAACTAGAAGAATTGATGCTTTTAAAAAGAAAAATAAACCCACAAACAAAAAACTCCTTGTCCTTAAATTATCAAGTTATTCCTGCTGTCTAAAAACTTGTGGTTCTCCTTGTGTGGCTAAAAGGATCATCTTCACCCAAGAAGTCTCAAGTTTTCTAAAACTTATTGGGGGAAAATTGTCTCTTCCTGATTAGTCTCCATAACAAAAGCAAACTAAAGGTTGAGAATGCAATAGTACACTAATGTCACATGCTTTAAGAATCCATTCTCATAACCTCTCCCATACTCCAAAAGCCAGTTCAAATGAAACACAAAAACAAGCCTTAAATTTATTATTTGTTTGGCAACACTTGTCAAATGGAGAATTAACCAGGCAAGGAGGTAAGTGGGTAGAACAGTATTAGCTGGGCTATGTAAGATGAGTCACAAAAGCATTGACAGTTTATGTCAGGACTGGTTTAAGATTATTTTGTTTCCTGAAGCAAAGCAGCACATAATGCCACATTTAACTCTAAGTATATATCACCCAAGCTAGCAACCCAATTTTGGTGGATGGAACAGAAAATTCTCCAAGCACCTCCCAGATATCTAGCATCAATAGAATAAACCACATACTGTCTGGAGCCTGTCCATCAGGGTCATAACTCATGTTGGTTGTAAAACAGATTGATCACATATTTTGCAGTAATGGTTAAGTGGATCACCATAGTCGTTAAGCAAATCTACAGTTGTTAAGTGAATGACATGGTTAAACCAAAAAAATTTCTCTATGTGGGCAACTTTGCCGAAAAACAGAGTTGTTTTTTTTGCAAAACTGTTATAAAATGTTGCCATGTGACTGTGGGACACTGCAAACAGCCCAAAATGCGACTTGACTGCCAAGCACTCAAAACACAGTCATAAGACCCCCCCCCCCCCCCCGGGGAACCATTGGAACTTTGAATCTGGGTTGTAAGTACCCACCAGGTAGAATTATCATAACTTTGAATGGTCATTAAGCAACTTCCCACCCACATAACCTTAGACCATTCACTGTTGGCTATCTTACATTATGAGAATGTTGTGTCACATATTGCTGGTAAAAATGGTGAGATAGCACCCATAACAATCTAAATAATTTTAGGTAGACTACAAGAATCCAAGTTCTTATTGGGAGATTCAGAAGGAAAATCTAGTGAAATCAATTTCTTCTGTTTGATTGTGTTGTTACTGCAACATAATTGTTCAATAGCCTATATTATAAAATAATGCATACACATGGAGACATCTTATATAGTATTTTACAAATTTTTTTTATAGATGAAGTTCTTTAAATAGCATCTGAAAATTAAACTAGGAGAACTTTTTTTCCCAACTAATATCAAAACAAAAAACCTACATAAACCTGTAAATAATATTTTATTAAAATTCTTAGCTCAGCTTGTCAGTCTCTTTTATTAAATGAAGCTCCACAACAATAATATTCAGTTAATTAAACAAGCAGGATTACAGTCAATTAGATTGCAAAGATTTATAAATTTAATTGACTGAAGGTGTTTATGAAAATGCTGAGGTTTTCCAAAACAGGAGTGATGAAGCAGCACAAAGCACTTAGGATCTGTTTAATTTGTCTGTATTAATATATTTATTTTTAACTAATATATTTTCCATTAGTTGAGAAAAAAGTTACTGTACATATTTTCTGAACCGACAGTTTATTTTGCTTAGAATTGGAACCATCTATTTCACTACATAAAAATTAGCCATTTGTAGACAAATTTATAAATCAAGAGAGAATTCATAAAAAAGATTATTAGCTAGATACAGCAACTAATTATGAATTTTCTTCTGCTAGCTGGGAAAAGCTTTGCCGAAAGGTAACTTTAGACTCATCTAATGAGTTCTCCAATTGAGAATTCTTCCTACTGAGTATTGTGTTTATTTTCTACTGTCTCCCATGCACAATATTGTTGACACCAAAGTATTGCTAAAGAGGATTCATGATGAAATTTCCTCATCCAGATTTTCCTCCTTTAAAAGAACAGGGTCAAGGTATGGACTTGCAAAATTAATTTACATCCAAATGGTCCACCTGTGGAAACTCAACACTTCGAAGTTTAATTAAAACAAGGAAGCAAATGGTATTGATGGGGTTTTTTTGCCTCCGTAAATTCAAGTTACGTACTTCTTTTCAGATCACTGAATTGCACAGCTAGTAACAAGGAAAAACTGCATAGGTAGGTCAAACACTTAGCACATATCAATTCCCACATTCAGTACTTGTAAATTTCAATCAAATTATAGTAAATTAAAGATAATGTTATGAACTTGTCCATCTAGTTCATAGAAAAGTAAATAATATAAAATTTACAAATCCTGTCTGGACTGAAGTAATTTTGTAATATTTTGCAAGTTATATAATCCAGATATACAGTAGGATAGCATGTCCTCCTAGGATACTAGACAATTCTCCTGCTGTGTGTCTCCCAATTTTTTATTTCAGGAAAGTGACTATCAATCACTTTCCTACCTGGATGGGCTGCATTAACAGAGGGATAGAATCAAGATCACGTGAAATATTAATACCACTTTACAATGCCTTGGTAAGGCCACTGAACCTTATGACGTAGGTCAAAACCAGTGGTACTACATTTTTTCTACGACTCTGAGATCTTTCTCATGTCTCTTCTCGTTGTTTCTACTAATCCCCTGACCTCCGATTTTGTATATTCCTTGCCAACGACCTTAACCCATACAGATCAAATTGCTTCTCTTCGACGAGGGGGGACATGATAGCAGTGTTCCAATATCTTAGGGGCTGCCGCAAACAAGAGGGAGTCAAGCTATTCTCCAAGGCACCTGAAGGCAGGACAAGAAGCAACAGATGGAAACTGATCAAGGAGAGAAGCAACCTAGAACTAAGGAGAAACTTCCTGACAGTTAGAACAATTAATCAATAGAACAACCTGCCTCCAGAAGCAGTGAATGCTCCAACACTGGAGCTTTTTAAGAAGAGACTGGACAGCCATTTGTCTGAAATGGTATAGGGTTTCCTGCCTGAGCAGGGGGTTGGACTCGATGACCTCCAAGGTCCCTTCCAACTTTATTATAATAATAAAATAATAAAATATTCATGCATGCAGACATAACATAAAATGTTATTATCCAAGCCCCACCCCCAAGGGAATGGGAACCTATAGTACTCTCTCTTGCTGAAAATGTATTAGGTAGGCAGGATAGATTGTCCAGAGTGTTTTAAAATAATGATTCAAGCCATAAAGTGATTGGTACATACAGTAACTGACATCTTGTATTGGATGCAACAATATAGTTTATGAACTCTGTCTAGAAGAGATTCAGATATCTTCATTCAGGATTTCTGTGGTTGCTGTCCTCTACGTCCTCTATAAAGGGGGCAAGTTAAATACAATGCATAATTGGAGTGATGGCTTCTTGAGGAAGGGACATTCCACATCAACTTTCAAGATAGGTTCATCACACCATCTCTCAAGGACACACTCACCACCTCCCAGGTTCACTTCTTCTTCTCTTCTTTGGTAAGTTTTTACAAGCCAGGAGGAACACTGGCCAAATCCACAGATAGCAAAAACTACCCTACAATAACTCTGTCCACATCTTCAGGTATAAATAAGGTTATTGTTGTAATCACAAGTCATAACAACCTAGCATAGCATAAGTATAATAAAACAAAATAAATAAAAATAGTACTGAATGCAAAGAGATCAAAACAGAATAAATTCAGGACTCTGATTAAAAACATAGTTTTTGCCTTTACCACTATTACAAGAAGATATTGTAAGGTCTTATATGAGAACATATTTGTTCATGAGGAATTGGGGTATCCACAACACTCTATTGGGGTATCCACAACACTCTATTGGGGTATCCACAACACTCAGATCTAACCCTGCTTCCTCAGTGTTGTGTAGTGGGAATAGTGAGGCATTGAAGACATGGAGTTGAACTAACATCTCTTTATTAAGTTCTCACAGAAGCAACTCTAGCAGCTGCTTGACTTATAGTTATACGGACCGGCACTAGGTGGCAGCCAATGAATTTAAAGTATTCATTCCCGCCTAAAACAAAGGCTTAATGAATATACAGACAGATAGTCTATGATTCAAACTGAACAATTAGTTAACCATTTTTATAACAGATCTTAAAAATGTTGTTTAATACATAACACTCAGTATCCTGGAAGAATGGATAACTTTTAAATGAGTTTAATTTTATAAGACTCTAAAATCCCTATAACCCAGTTTGTAGCCAAATATTGTACAGTAGCAATGAAAATGAGGCACCAACAAATGCAAAGTCACCCATAACTCAGTTTATTTGTTGACCGCCTCAATGTCCTTCTAGTGTTCTGTTCTATTCTATTCTATTTTATTATCTTTACTAGTGTTCAACATCTCTGCCTCTTAGCCATAACAAGGAAAGGTGTTGATGATGAAGTAGGCAGGGGAAGAACAGATCAGCCATATCTGGATGTCACTATTATACTATTTCTCTGCCTAATCTGCCTCCCAGAATTATAATGAAGACAACATGGGAGGGCCGTGCTATCTATAACCCCCCCCCCCCCAAAAAAAACAGCAATATAAAAATATGATGACTTTTTAATAAAGGTTTTAAAAACTCATGCAGAAATGGGATGAAACAAAGTAAGATTTCAAAAAGTTGGGAAGCTGTAGACTCTTAAATCAACCCCTTTTTCTACTCCTAAGCCCTCAAAGATGCTATTGCGATGTCAATGAGAAGCTGTCATAGATAAGAATCCTTAGTGTACAAAAAAGTGCTCCCTTGCAGCTTGAAATTAAAATTCCAAATTTCTAACCCATCCTCACTCCCAAACTGCCAAGCCATTATCTTAGAGGCAGAGAATCTGCACAGAAATCTGATGAAATTGTAAATCTGATGGGAGGTCAAAGGATAATGAGGAGGATCAGTTCATCAAAAAAAGAAAGATATTGACTTATTGTATCAGTGTGCTGGCAAAAAAAATGCTGTGCCTCTATTTCTGGTGAAAATCTCTGAAGCATTCACTCTTATACTGTGCCCTTTGAACAACTGTTTCTAGGAAAGCAGTAGGCAGCTAATTTAAGAAAAGGATCTGTGAATTCCAGTGTAGATGCTATTAAGGCTAGACTGAATAATCCTTCTTATATCTTCCATGGCAAAGACTACAATTATAGCAGGTGCTAACACCTAGAACATGGAGGCAGTTGTTTGGCTAGAGGTGCCCTAGCAGGATCCCCTGGGCTCTGGCATATGTATTGCTAGTGTCAGAAGACCTGTGGTGGATCACTGAGGATTTCCTTGTGCAGTCCAGTCCATGCACAGATTCAGTAACAACCCTAAGTCTGGAGTGGCAAGCAGCAGCATTGCTGACATTACCCACTATGGCTGAGCCATCTTCTTGGTTTCTTGCCAGAACCTGTCACAGATATTTACAGAATTGGCTGCTCTGGCTACCAGTTCATTTCAGAGTACAGTCAGGGCCTGACTATCACCTTGAAAACCCTGTCTGTTTTCTTTGTGAACTTGCCCCTGGATCTCTGGAGAGATCAGCTGCTATGCTCCTCTGACATTTTAAAACAGGAAGGGGTGGCACTGCAGATGTCAGTGGTCCCATAGAACTTAAGCAGTGTTACTTGGTGTTTGTCTTTCACCAACAGATAAAAAGGTTTTAGAAATGAGGATTTGACTCTGTTATGAAGGACTAGTTTTGTGTCAGTGTTTCTGTCTATTGTTTAATTGCTGCCTTTGGGTCTTCATGGATTTTGTTACACTTATTTCTTTGTCTTGTAAAACACTTTATGCAGTTGCTTATAAAAGAATTAAGAGCAAGTCAGTGAAAATGGGGAGGAACTTTCTGCATATTGGAGTGGAGTTGAAAAAAGTTCTTAATGTTTTCAGGGACAGGGAAATTATATTTGCTTTGTGCAGGGAGTTATAAGAAAAGACCTCCTCCTTTAGTTATCCCCACCCCCACTTAAAACACAACAAAACAGGTTTTGTGATTGTGACAAAGTGACAGCAGAGATTTCACGGCCAGATGGTACGTGCGGCACCTTCCTCACATGCGTTGTATCAATTCGGACAGAAAATCCCAGTCTCTGCATTCAAGAAAAAACGGTTTTAAAAGTGGATGGGAGAACTCTTAATAAAGGCTGATCAAAATATGAATTCCTGTTCTTAGAAAATGTTCTTGAAAAGCATTAAATATTTATTCAGCAAACCAGGTTTCACTATCCTATCCCCTTGGATATTTTCAAAACAGGTAGGTTTATTAAGAAATTTCCAATGCATCCTACAAATATAATAATATTGATCTTTTGTGCAAGTTTTCTAGATTATTTCATGTTTCACAAAGTAATTAATCACCATTTTCTAGTTCTAAACAATACATAGAGAGAGAGAGCGGGGGGGATATTTAGTTCATCTACCATGAGCAAAATACTTACTGCAGTTCTCAGCCTTCTTATTTCTGTGGATGACAGTCTTCTGGTTAGGTGAGCTGAAAAGGCTGGTCCAGTTGATGGTATGATAGTAGCATAAGTTACTGTTGTCAGTTATGTAAACATTCCCAGCACTGATGTGCTTCAGGGACTGGAACTGGAGAGATTTAATTCCTTGCTGCTTGAGAATAAGCAAGGAAAGACCACTGGAAAAAGAAAAAGAAAACAGCAAATCCATGTATTGTGCATATGTGCATTAGAATCCCGCCGTTACTTTAAGAACTTGAAGCTCAAAGAATGGAACAGCAGTTTAATTTAGGCACCTGATCTCCATTTTTACACCATTCAATCACATGCCACTAGGAGGAAACTCTGCACAAAGCCACAAATACTCAAGGTACTAAAAACCAACCATCCAGAGATCTGAACTAACCCAAATATGCTTTCCCTAAACCATAACTGAAAAGATAGACATCATCATTATCAAGGATGACTGATTTACTTACATTTACTTAAATGCTAAAAAAAATTACAGAATTGTCCCTGGACTAGGACGTGCAGGAACACAATCAAGTTGAGAATCATGCTGAATGAAGCAGCCAAACAGGAAGAGAAGACTGCAGTATTTGCCACAATCACTAGGAAAAGTCCAAAAGAGCCAATGCTGTACTAATTCTTAATTACTGCAGAGGGTACCTGTTGGTGACCCATACATATTGTTTTTCCATATGACTGCAGTAGAAGAGAAGTTTGAAAGTGACTGTCAACTCCTCCTATCATTAGAAATGCTTCCCTGGCAGTCAACAATGTTATCAGTGTAACAGATGAGCATCTCCTGAACCAAGAATACTGCATTTGTGTTTTTGCTTTTTTTATTTTTTTCCCTGCTTTGACTTGGAATGATCTTTTTCATTTTATCAATGTATCTCAAGATAGTGAAATAAAGAAGCCTGCAACAGCTAACCTTACAATCTTTAATCTCTCAGTGAGGGTGATTGTCTATACCAAGATGTGCTCCAGGATGGAAAAAAAGAAATAAAAATGAAATGTGCTACAAGAAATACTTTATTTTTCACTATGGAAAATGTAGATATCCAACCTACATATATTTTAGCATCTCATCTAAAAATCAAACGGAACAGGGTTTGTGTTTAACATAATTTAAAGACCAAAATGGAATTTGGTCCATATATAACCATTTCCATAGCTGTAGACCATTCCAGAATTAGTAACCAGAACTTCCATGACTCATCAACTGGAGGATTACAAGTGACCTAAATGAAGGGCTATAGTTTCACCAGAAGGGGGTGGGTCCCATTTTTTTAAAGCTTTATTTATTTAGATTTATTGGATTTTTAGATGAGAAGAGGAATAAGAAGAGGCAAAATACTAATTTCTACCCTTAAAAAACATTTCATTCATTTTGCAAAATGGTCTGGAATCTGGCTAATGAAAATTAGTGACAAAATGGCTAAACTGTGGTGCTTCCCAATTATTTTGAGCAAAAAGTGAAAATCAGTCATACTTTCCTCTGATGAGCAGGAGGTTTGTTGATCTGGATTTCAGATTTATGAGATGCTTACAAATTCCACTTCTGGATTTAGCTTCTCCTTACTAAGATCATTCATTTTTAATAGTTATTTTACTAAAGATTAAAACTACAACCATAAAAACTAATACAAACTGAAAGAATGAAAAGAAAAAAAGGAAGATGCAGAAATGTAAAAATAGAAAGAAATAGAAAGAAAAATAGAAAAGAACAAAAAATAATGTAGTAAAGGAAAAGAAATAAAGTGATTTTCCCCTCCATCACAACAAGTATAAATAATTTTAGTAACTGATTGCCTTCTCTTAAAATATCAAATAACTCCTTCTTATTACACCCAGCCAAGAACAACATAGAATAATCCAGCAAAGTTCAGTTCTTTATTTGCTCACACCAAATAGATAGAATCTTGCCAGACTAAACCTTTACTACTCTCACCCGAATGGATATATTGTACCCTGGGAGATTCTAGGGAGTGGCTTTCCTAACTCTCTTCTTCTGTCTCCTAACCAGCTCCAGGCTGTGTTGCTTCTTGTCTTGCACCTCTCCTTGGAAAGCGCTCCCTCTTCCTGGGAAACTGCCACTTTACTCTAGTCCATCACACTACCACACCCTCCATAGGCACCATCCCTCACATTTCTTCCCATATCCTATCTCTTAAACAAATCCACGAAGCCTTGTCATTTCAACATTGATGTCAGCAAAAGTCTATTAAGGGTTACCAGAAATAACAATTATCTATTTTAACCTTGATGAAATAAACCAATATTTATATTTTTGTTAATCCTATGTAGGAAAATTATCCAGGTTACTTTCTTGGCCTGTTAGTTGCATATCCCTTTTAAGTATTAAGACATCAGTCAGTTTCTCTTTTTTTTTCATGTAGCCTGTCATTTTTAAATCCGCTTTCAAATCAGTCTCAATCTTGTCAGATAAAACATATTCCTCTTCCATAGTCTATATATACAGGATAAGCAAAACTTCTTAAAATTAATTTCTGGATCCATCGTTCAAAAATATTCTTCAATATGTCCAATGTTAAAATATTTTGCTTCATTCTGTATTTATAAGTCAAATTTGAGTGTTATCCTTTAATTGTAATCTTTACAGTTCCTTTCCAGTGTCCCATTTTAACCTTACATCATTATATTTTTAAAAGAATTTAAAATTTCTTAAAATGTTTTAAAATAAAAAATAATTTAAAATCTAATTTCAAATTTATTTGGACTTTTAGTCCCTCTGTAACTTTCTAAAATAAAAAATAATAAGCATGCTTTTGCTGTTAATTGCAAACAAAAAAATTCTTTTCCTAAGGATTAAAGGAAACTCACCCACTGTTATAAAACTTGTCAGTCCAAATAATCCTAATGGTTTAAAAGGAGTTAATTTCTGAAAGTGACTGCTAACCATGTTTTGAGCAACATGGCTATTCCCTTGTTTCCCACAGGTCTAAACCTGCCAGAGACTATTGTCTTGCAGAGCCCTCATAGGGATCAGCTCTCTGGAGCACTTGTGGGTGATCTCAAGGCCTCTCCTTGTTTAGAGACAAATTACTGAAGATCAGATTGAAGATCTGATCTTGCTGGCTCTTCATTCCACCACAGTCCTCAAGTATGCTTTTTGTTGAGCTGTCTCCAGTCTCCCATTTCTTTCCTGGATTTTTTAAAGATTATTCTTAAGGAATTTGGCACCCATGTTGTAAAAGTAGTAGCAGCTCTTTAGAATTGAAACTGTAGCTCCTACTAAAGTATTCAGAAGTGATACCAGATGTCAAATATTGAGACTAACAAATGAATGGCACAAAAGGGTACTTTTTACTTATTTTATGGGAATTTGGTTGCATTGGATTTGTGCATATGTAACAATGTCCCCCCCCCAAAAAAAAAGTTACATCTTTGCACTGAACAGCATTCTTAATGAGAAATAAGCTACATCAAAATCTTTAACTGGATTATAAAGCTCCACCACTGATTTATTTGATCATTTTAGAATCACTGATTGGAGCAAACAAGTTAAACAGCATTGTTTTGTTACTGTTGTGGTCCATCAAATCAACCTTGACTCTTATTTTTCATGGCAACACTTTGGAAAGATCCCTTGCCAGAACTTTCTCTCTAGGGTTGGGAGAGTGTCTGGCCCAATCACTTAGCTGATTTTCATACCTAAGGTAGGACTAAAACTTATTGTCTGCTGCATCAAACTATCTCTTAACAGCATTAGTCTAACAAAAGTAAATAACAAACTTGATGTCTGAAAACACAGGTTAGAAATTTCAAACACTGATATATAAGACTGGGTTATATAGTTCACAGAGGAACAATGAAGTCAACTTTCCTGGATTGGTGAGGACCTGGACAGACTTGAACACTGGGCGCTATCTAACAAAATGAAATTCAATGGTGAAAAAAGTAAGGTTCTACATTTAGGCAAGAAAAACCAAATGTACAGGTATAGTATAGGCGGTACCTTGCTCAATAGTAGTAACTGTGAGAGGGATCTCAGAGTCCTAGTGGTCAATCACTTAAATATGAGCCAGCAGTGTGCTGCAGCTGCCAAAAAAGCCAACACAGTGCTGGGCTGCATTAACAGAGGGATAGAATCAAGATCACGTGAAGTATTAATACCACTTTACAATGCCTTGATAAGGCCGCACTTGGAATACTGCATCCAATTTTGGTCACCATGATGTAAAAAAGATGTTGAGACTCTAGAAAGAGTACAGAGAAGAGCAACAAAGATGATTAGGGGACTGGAGGCTAAAACATATAAGGAACGGTTGTTGGAATTGGGTATGTCTAGTTTAACGAAGAGAAGGACGAGGGGGGGGACATGATAGCAGTGTTCCAATATCTCAGGGGATGCCACAAACAAGAGGGAGTCAAACTATTCTCCAAAGTGCCTGAAGGCAGGACAAGAAGCAACGGATGGAAACTAATCAAGGAGAGAAGCAACCTAGAACTAAGGAGAAACTTCCTGACAGTTAGAACAATTAACCAGTGGAACAACCTGCTTCCAGAAGCGGTGAATGCTCCAACACTGGAAGTTTTTAAGAAGAGACTGGACAAGCATTTGTCCAAAATGGTGTAGGGTTTCCTGCCTGAGCAGGGGGTTGGACTCGATTACCTCCAAGGTCCCTTCCAACTTTATTATTATTATAATGAACAGGTCAAGACCTTGTGGGACTTTTGAATCCAAACAGACAAGACATCTGACCCACAACATGCCTGACATCACTATTGTGGAAAAGAAAAAATTCTGGTGCATTGATATTGCAATATCAGGTAATGCACGAATTGAAGAGAAATAATTAGAAAAAATAATAAAATACTGCGATCTGCAAATTGAAGTTGAGCAATTGTGGAGCAAGAAATCAATGGTTGTACCAATAATAATAGGAGACCTTGGAGCAATAGCCAAAGGATGCCTAGATACGTGGAAACTTTGAATTTATCAGACCTGAATATTCTGACCTTGCAAAAACAACAACACCTTACTTGGAACTGCCTATATACTCAGACATTACCTTAACAGCTCTTAGGTCCTTGGTTATGGCTTGAACTGTTAAGTTTTTACCAGTCCCAGACTGAATTGAATTGAAGATTAAGTCTTTAACAAAACAATAATATCTGGCTGAGTGTACCATGAACTATAATAATAATAATAATAATAATAATAATAATAATAATAATAATAGTAGTAGTAGTAGTAGTAGTAGTAGTAGTAGTAGTAGTAGTAGTAGTAATAATAATAATAATAATAATAATAATAATAATAATAATAATAATAATAATAATAATAATAATAGTGGGCATGGTAGTAGCTGGAGACAGCAGAATATAAAATAAAGAACTGGACCGATAACAAAATACACGGGAAAATAGAAATAGAATGACTGTGGAAAATGAAAGGAAAGGTAGTATAGTAATAGTAATATGTGGCCTGGGTTCAAACTCAAAATACCTGGAGCACTACTTGAACCACATCAGCATTGATAAAGCCATCATTGGTCAATTACAAAAGGCAGCTTTACTTGGAACAGTTTACTTCCTGTGACAATGTGACATCATCAAAGAAGAAGATTCACCTATCCCAGGTTCTTGGGAAGGACTCAGCATATGGATAAAAATGCCAAATCCAGTCAAAACATCTGGTTGACTGTGCAATGAGCCATAATGCCACAATTATAAAATCCACCTAGTCACTAATGTGATTAAAATGGAAAATGATGAAAAATACCAAACAGGAGTATAAACGGAATGAAATAGATGAATTCAAGTGTTCAGTAGGTCCTTCCCTGTGTTAGAATTGAGGAAAAATCCAAGCCACTTTTTATGGCAGCCTAGTACCAAAGGACTGGTTACGGGACCAAAACTTTAAATCAAAATCTCAACACTATTTTACTAAATTATAATTCCTAAGTATTTTTTATAAATGAGAGCATAAACAATAGAAATATATACTTATGTATATCCTACCTGTATAGTGCTCGTCCACCAATAGTTACCAGATTTGAAAACACACTAAAATCTGTCATATTTTCAGGCCAGGATTGTATATTCAGGAATCCTATAGAAGATGAAATAAGAGGAATTAGAAAATATGCCTGCTGCAATTATGGCAGCATTTCATACTTGAAAACTGTATTAAGAGCAGAGAACATTTGGAGGTGTCCAGCCTATAAATTTAGAGCAGAAGTTATTCTCCATAATGTTCTCCACAGAGGAGATAGTTGTTTGAAAAATAACTGAAAAAAATCTCCCAAACCAAATAAGATAATGACAAAGGCCCTGTAAAGGCTAATATACTGTAAGTATTGTGGCTTAAGTTTTAATATATAGTATTGCATAAAGTATGTTAATATTAAACATTAATATATAAATAAAATAAAAATTTGTATTGAAACATAATTGAAACATAAAACAAAAACTGAAGTGAGAAGATATATAGTAGGGATGACCATTATATTTTGATGAATTCCAGAGCTCAAGCTGGAATAGGATAATTCAAAAGAATTGAACTTTGAAGTAACCCATAGCAGCCTCAGAGTTTTGGCAGAGTAAGTGCCTCTCTCATTCTCTTTGGAACTGTTTTGGACAAGTTCAAATCACTGGAACCAGATGGTTTACATCCCAGGGTTCTGAAGAAGATGTGATCTCGGAACTACTGAACAGAATCTTTCAGAGCTCCCGGAGCACTGAGGAACTACCAGAGGACTGGGAAAGAGCTGATGTGGTTCCCATCTTAAAAAAAAGGGGGGGAGTGGATCCAGGAAACTACAAACCAATCAGCTTGACATCAATACTTGGGAAAATCCAGGAAAATATCAACAAGCAGCAGATTTGTGAGCACCTAGAAATCAACAAGGTGATTACTACAGGCCAGCATAGGTTTGTTAAAAGTAGATTATGCCAAACAAATCTTACTGCTTTCTTTGATAAAGTAACCAAATTAGTGGAATAAGAAAATGCTAAGGATATAGTATACTTAGACTTCAATAATGCATGTGACAAAGTAGACCACAGCCTACTTCTTGGTAAGACAAAACAATGTGGCATAGGCAGTACCATCACAAGATGGATTTGAAATTGGCTGATCAACCACATTCAGCATGTGGTACCTCAAGATTCTGTCTTGGGCCTAATGCTCTTCAATATCTTCATAAATGATCTAGATGAGAAGACAATAGGGGAACCCATCAAATTTGCAGTTGATATTAAGCTAGCGGGAATTGCTAACACTTTGTAAGATGGACTCAAGACTCAGAAGGATCTTGCCAGACTTGTGCATCGAGCCATATCCAACAAAATGCTGAGAAAAGTAAGGTCCTGCACTTAGGCAGGAAAAATGAAATGGCACAGGTATATGATAGGCAGGACCTGGCTCAACAGTAGTAACTGTGAGAGGAATATAGGTGTCCTGGTGACGACTGCTTAAATATGAACCAGCAGTATATTGCAGCTGCCAGAAAATCCAATGAGGTTCTAGACTGCATCAACAAAGGGATAGCATCAAGATCACAAGAAGTGACAATATCACTTTATACTGCACTAATGAGGCCACGCTTGAAATACTATGTCCAATTCTGGCCCCCGTGATGCAAAAAAGATATTGAGACCTTAGAAAGAGTGCAGAGAAGAACAATAAAGATGATAAGGGGTCTGGAGACTAAATCATATGATGCGCTGCTAAAGGAATTAAGTATGTTTAACTTAACAAAGAGAAGATTTAAGGGTGACATGATAGTCATCTCTGGTATTTATTACAGAGAACTGGGGATCAATTTATTTTCCAAAGCACCTGAAGGCAGGACAAGGAGCAATGGGTGGAAGCTGGTTAAAGAGAGACCCAACCTAGAACTAAGGGGAAATTTTCTGACACTGGGAACAATTAGTCAGTGGAACAGTTTGCCGCCTGGAGTTGTGAGTACTCCATTGTTGGAGATTTTCAAGCATGGATTGGACAACCTTTTGTTCAGGATAGAATAAATACTCCTGCATTGGGCATGGTTTTAATTAGAAGACCTCCAAAGTCCCTTCCAGCCCTATGATTTTATGAATTCCTACCTCCATCTCAGGGTTAGGAGATAATTCACAAAACAGGTTATTCTGTATCTGGACTTGGATGATTAATGGAAAACAGATGAAACTTGATAAACTTGTACAAGTTACCCTTTCATAAAGTTAAATGTTCATAAGTCAGTTTCCTACTAGTTCGGAAAGTTCCTTGGAACTAAGGAAGACAATAGTCACATTAATGATAATACTTTGCAATTATATACTGCAGTGATTTATAATGCTCAAGCACATATATCATTTCACTATGTAAAAATACATACATAATGGTATTATCTCTATACAGAAAAATGGAGGATGGAACTGAGCCAAACGATCAGAACGGGTAGTCCTCCCACTTACAACAATTGAAACCAGAATTCCCATTGTAAGTCATTGCAGTTATAAGTCATCATGTGCACAGAACAATTTTACAACCATTTTTACAACATAACCTGAGTCACCATGGTCATAAGTTGAGTCATGTGATCATAAGTATAAATCCACCTTAACCGATAGTGATTTTGCCACAAACCAGCAAAAAACATCACAAACTGCGTTCATGTGACTGCAGAATGCTGCAACTGATCATAACAGCAAGCCAACAGCCAAGTGCCCAAATTGTTATTATATGACCATGGTGGAAGGACAACAGTTGTAAGTTCACATTTAGATTGTGACTGTTTCAGAGGCCATCATTAATTCTAACTGTTGCTAAGCAAATAATCATACATGGAGGACTACCTGTACTTTATCAGGGCCATCTTGTGAACTCATGGCTAGAAGGAAAATATGTTAAGAATTTGTTCATACACTTATCATACTGCAATGTTAGCTTTTAAAAGCATGCGTTGAAAAGGAGAATAAACAAATGCACAGACTACTCAGATTATGTAGGTTACCTGTTATCTCTCTCACTGTTTGGAAGACATGTAAATTCTGCGGGTCAATTGCTTCAATTGTGTGATATGGATCCCTGGAAGATAGCAATGACACATTGTGATAATTTGAGTATGAAATTATGCAGACAGATTTACCCCAACTCTTGTGTGGTATCTTTACCTTTACCTTTCCTAACCAGGAAGAGAGTTTTCTGCCAGTTTAAATTAGTACAAATCCCATCACACCTTAAATTGCAGATACCAAATTGTCTGAATCTGCATAAGTCTCCAAGATCTTTCAGTGGCTTACAAAGCTCCCCGGTTCTACCGGCAAAGAAAAAAAAAGAGTTGCACTCTCAATATTCTAGTTGTAGATACAGCTGGAAAATGCAGTTTTCCAAAAGGATATCCTTCACACAATTCCATTTTCCATGCATACTTGATTCTAGTGAACCAGGGAGAGAATAAATCTTCCTTTCTTCTTTCTTCCCTTTTATTCTCTCTGATCCGAATGATAGCATTTACATAAATGGATAATGAGATAAAAGCTTGAACTTCTTTGTGGGAAGAGAGAAAAGAAGAGAGAAGTATGAGGCAGAATTGTTTTCCAACTCAAATTAAGATTTGTTATGTGGACATCATGTTCATCTTACATTTCTAAATGATGTATTATAAAATCTTGGCAGAACGAATGCTGTTCTTGCCAACACCGGTTTTGCTACTCATGTTTCCATCTATTAGAGCTAATAAAGAATACAAAAATGCCATTACCTATTTGATCAGCCAGAATTTATTTTCATGGTTACTGCATTTTATTTACATTTTGAATTGGTCTTAGGATTGGCTTAGAATTGTTCCACAAAGTTTCATTCTTATCTGTTAAATGTTTCTGATTAGAAAAAGTCAACCTATTTTTGCAAGGTGTTGAAAACTGCAAGCAGTTTAAATTATTTTTATTTAAATGAATGCATTTAAATATATATTTAATTAATTTTCTTTTAAATACCTGCTGAAACGAATAAGTGTCCCCTAGCAATTGGGCGATTAATTCAGTCTGGGCTAAAATCTTAATAAATTACGGTACATCAAGATTCTTATGTGAAGACATGCACAGACACTATAATTTCAATGTATTTATATGTTGTTCTGCCCTTTACTGATGTTCAGTAAAGAAGCATATAATGTGACATTTTTGGAAGAATGTCCATGCCATTTGTACATGTCTAAACAATACACAGATGACACCAAGTTTGTTTTTTCCTCCTTAAAATCTGTGTATTCTCATGTTTAATATGATTAAAACTGAGTTGTTGCCAGGTTTGGATTATAATGTTTTCACTGCAGATTTCCAAGCAAAAGATCAATCCCCATCTCCACTTCAAACCAGCCTCCTCTGAGGTTTCATGGATGCCAGTGACAGGAGGCGAAAAAAGAGGGGAATTGACCTTTTAACTCAACAAGTTACATGACATGGGCCTTGTTTGGTTGGGCTGAGAATTGATATTCAAGGTAGAGATGCAAGGGAAGAAAAACTGTGAAAATACACTTGGGAAACAGCAAAGATAAAGTAATCCAGGAAGGATATCAGGAAATCTAGAACTCAAGGAAGTTTTTGGAGAGGATATATATATATATACAGTATATATCCTCCTTTCTTGGAATTATAAACTGACCCACAAGAGAAAGGACAAAAACCAAAAAATCACAAGACAAAAACCACTGTTTGTCTGCTTCCTGTGGAATTATAAATAACGCCACAAGGTTCACTGGAAGCGTTTGCATGCAGAATAATTAGAAGAAAGAGACTCACAATGTAGTTATGTGCAACAGGTGCGCCATGTTTATTTTCCAGCCCATAGAGAGCTCAAATTATATTTGCACAAAATGTAAATTAGTCAAATTACTAAAAGAAAAATGGAAGTCTAGAGGCATGACTAGCTACTCTGAGACCAGTCATTCTGAAACTTATTGGTGAACATGATGGATTCCTAGTAAAGGCAGGAATCAGTATCCAAACAAAACACAACAAAAAAAGGGGGAAAAACTACTTGAAAACAGAAAGTGCAATGGAAATGGCAGCAGATCAAAAAAACCAAAAATGTCTATGTCCCCACCTCGGGCTGAACAACTCATTTCATAGCCTTTCCCTGGAAGAAAACATTCAGACACCTGGAGATGCCTTCATTAAGCAACCCAATGACAGGAAGTAAAGAAGCTCAGACTTCCCCAAAGGAAAAAAAAGGCATGTGTTGATGATAGATGACTCACTACTCAGAATCAGAAGAACAGAGACAAGAATTTTTAGACCAGACAATTTTCTTGAAAGGTGTGTTCTCCCAGGTGCAAAGATTAAAGATGTGATAGAGAGGTTCACAAAAAAAAATCAATTCCACTGCTTATTATCCTTTTTTCCTCTTCTATGTTAGGATGAATGAAACAGTTAAGAGCTTGAAAACTAGGCAGAAAAGCAAAATATCTGGGAGTGCAGGTGATGTCTCATCTGTACTCCCAACAAATGGTCAACATCCGGTGAGGAAACACAAGAGTTTAGAAGTAAATTGCTTGCTCAAGGGATGGTGCCACTGAGTACTTTGGACTTCCTAAACCAAGGTTCACATTACCTACAGGAAGGGCTTCTGGCAAGAGAAGGGTTGTAACTCATCAGGACTGGGAAGAATGTGTTTGGAAAACAACAAGCTCAGCTCATCCAAAGGGCTTTAAACTATAATTGGAAGGAGAGGGAGACCAATCTTTAACATCAAACCCCAAGCATAATCCATAAGATTAGACAATGAGAAAGGGAGTGATGAGATGGAAGAGGAACTCAGGTTGTTTAGATCCTTCTCAATCTTGGGTCTATCATCCAGAGTTTTAGCAATTAACCCCAGCTTGGTGTCATCTGCAAATTTGACAAGCTCCCCTTCTATACCTTCATCTAGATTATTTATAATGTTGAAGACACTGGACCCAAGGCAGAACCTTGAAGTTCCTCACTGTAAGCTTCTCCCATGTAGTTATCGTATTGTTGATGGCTACACACTGAATTTATGCATTTGGAAGCAGACAGAAATGTTCTCTTGCTATTCTTCATTCACAGAAAAATAACACATATAAGAAAGTTTGAGGGGCATTTAATTGTTTATCTCTATAGATATGTAAAATAAGTGTAGGGATAGATTGGGAAAAAGAGACTAACACTAGGAACTGAGTAATACAATTAAGAAATGGAATCATTTCCAGATTTTATTTTGAGGTTGAAAGGAGTACAAAAGAATATTCACATTAAAATCAAAGATTTAAAATCAAATAATAGACAATCAAAATTATTTACATTTCCTATTCACAATTTAGAATATGTTTCATGGAACTAGTTTCATCAATATACATTTTTATTCAGCATAATTTTGCTGTGAAAGGACTACCATCTGGAAGAAAAACATGCTTTAAAGCAAGTATGTAAAGTTCAAAGTTTGTATTCCTTAAATTAAAATGCACTTCATGTATTAGGAACTCAATTCATGGTTTCTCAGTAGACAGATTCTGATTTCCAGTCACCCAGCAAACTGCATTATTGAAACACAACTGATAATTTGAAGACTTATTCAAATGTTTTAAATTTCAAATATTATATAAAACATATGCAGAAATGTCTTGCCACAGTTTTACTTTTTCATGTTTTTTTCTGATCTTGTGAAGTTCCAGGTCTATACTATACTAATACAGTGTTCCTACTAATTAAATATGATTAAAACAGTGATCAAGCAATCATTACATTCTTTTGCTTAGGGTTATCTAAACCCATAGGTATTCTCTATAGAGAATAGCTACAATTGTGTTTGGACTGTTCTGAAAAAAATAGATAACAATGAGATGTGGTTACTGATATGAGTTGAACCAAAGTTGTTCTACTTTTTACATAGAACAATATTACACTATTTTAAAAGCCAAAATTTGTACCTTTTGTTTCTAAATTTAGCATCCTACTGTATGTCTAGCAACAATTTTCCCAAAATGAATTACTACTCCAGAAATCAGAGGAGAGGAAAAGAAAAATGTCATACAAAATTACTACAATCAATTAAACTGAATAAAGATAATTTGCACTATCCTATTGCCATTCATGCCATTCATAAGACACTTAGTTTCGGGGAAAGCAAAGGTGATCAACATTTCAGCTAACAAATATCAAAGTACTTATAATTTCTTCAGATATAAATTACAATGACTAAAATCTCATGACACAACACTATGACAGAACACTATAGTTTCTAATCCTTCAATCAAATCACTGAAACATTTAAAAATATGATCTCATATTTCAGTCAATTAAAATAAAAAGTTATTGGGTACCCAACTCTTAAAAAATTCTTTGGTCCCTGATGCAAGTTGATATGCAAGAAGAATTAACTGAGGAAATTTAGTATATGTGGTAACATTACATGAAAATACTTGTTATAATCTATTATTATTAAGGTTTTCATAGTTTTGTGGCAATTTTTCATGGATGTTTAATGTGAATTGTTTGTTTATGCTCTTAGTTATTTTGAACCACCAAGAGTCTGTATGATTCTGTAATATCTAGATTAGGTAGATAGGTAGATAAGTAAATAGGTAGGTAGTTAGACAAACAGGTGGTTCCAATTCAATTCTTGTATATGATACTGATAGGAAATACCTTTTTGCTAATTTTAGCAAACGATCTTCATGTTAAAGGATAAACTACATTGCATAATCCAGCACCTCCACTCTAAAGCTAACTTTTTTTTAATGGGTTTCAATTCAGTTTTCAAAATTTAGTGATTTTCCTATGACTCTGGTTGTCTCTTATGCCTCTGCTTTCCTTGAAATTGGTCAATGCATTTCTTTCAGCTACACTGATTTATTATAATTGGGCTCAAAAACTCTGCAATAGTTTTGATCAATCTTTTCATAAAATCCACAGGAGAACCCAAACTAGGACAGTAGTATGAGGCATCTTTATTTTAATGCCAAAGTGTGGTAACTTAAAGTTTCTTTTTAATGTTATCTTATCAACTTTTATGCTTAAAAATTTAAATCTGGATGAACCCATTACATAATCTTCCTAGATATGTAACCTCACAGGTATCCAGGTGAAACAACTTTGGCCTAGTATTTCATTTCAGCATTGAATGACAGAATTGCTGCATAGTGTAACTGGATTTTTTTTTAAAAAAATGTTGGTATTAGATGTCATAAAATTTTCACTTACCCACGAATTCCAGTGACAAGGAAGATCAAGTTCCCATTGATCTTGGTGCAGTTGATAAATTTATCAATGTTACTGGAGTCTACAGTTTGAGCATACATCAAACTTCCTGTACCTATGCCATCACATGCTGCAAAAATAAACAACTTTGTAAAAAATATGCAATCATATATATGGATTCTTTGTATAAGTGACTAATGACATCCTAGGCTGAAATTATAATTAATGGAGTGAGGCAAGGTGGTATGGTAATTACTACAGGTAAGACTGAAAAATGAAGCTTACATTGTAGCATATGGATTAGTCACAGAATGATTGTGATTATATTTCTAGTAGAAAGTCACTTACATGGAGAGAAAAGTTCTAAAGCAGTTGCTTATGACATATGTATCACTACTGAATGAAGTGATCAAGGCAACCTGATCAGAAGTGAACTGGGACAGATCTTGTACAAATATATTATGAACTGGGAAGTAATAAGTACTGACGATAGTGAGAAAGGAATCAGAAAAAGAAACCTATTCTGTCAATAAGTCAAGAAAATCGCTATGTTTAATTTTTCTAAGTTGATGGGAAATCCTTATTTTAAGAATTGCACATTGGTTTTTGAAGTCATATATTCCAGGGCCTTCGGACATAAATCTCCATCTTTTGTTCTTTTATCTTTCATTTCAAAATAAATAATCTAAAAAGAAAATCTCTTCTCTATTTCATCCATGCTTAGCCCTGAGCATAACATAAAACCAAATTATGTTAGGAAATGCTTTATAAGGCAATCTATAGAATGCCTTGACTTCCACACATGACTGTGTATTGCCATAAAAGAGTTGTTTTATAGTAACAGTACTAGAAATATTATGCAAAGATACAAACCATGCAAGATAAAGCAAAGAAATACACTATAGAACCCTTCTAGCTACAACTCTTTTCACAGTCACAATGGAGCAATACTAATGTTCAAAATCCTGTAAAAAAAATAGCTGGGTGATATCTTTATTAATACAATCAAAACAACAAAAACATGGGTGAAACTATAAAGGTCTTCAAACTACTTTACTAAAAATCCAGAAACATTTTAAGTATCTTGAGGCTTTTATTCCTATTTCTTTTCTTATAGTTTATCAAATGGATTATTTGACCCTGTATAATAAAAAGGATTTCCTTCTCATTACACTTGTTAACCCCACAGAGAGAGGAAAAAAGAAATATTTGATTCAATAACTCTAAACAGAGTGTTACAGGGCTCAAATCCCTCATATCTTCAGGTAAGGCTCATAAAATTGATTGTTCCTCCTATGGAGTTACAGTTGTGTGTAAAGTTTACATATCCTTAGTCAAATGATACATTTGCATGAATCCCAAAGTGAAGCAAAGCAAAGTAATCTTTACACAGTACAAATAGTTCTCACTTTACTGACTGCCGACTATTTGATGTTACAATCGTTCAAAAACACCAGGTTTTTTTACCAATCCTGACATGTACAACTGTTGTAATGTCCCATGGTCATGTGATCGCCATTAAGGTGCTTCGCAACAGATGTACAGTACATTTATGAATGTCAAAATGTCCCACAATCACATAATCATTTGCAAGTTTCACAACAGGCAGAATAAATGGAGAACACAGAAGTGAAGTTGCCAGTCAGAATCATATGATGTTTTGTTTAATGGCTGCAGCTCTTAGCAACAGAATTGCCAATCCCAATTGTGCTAGCCATGCAAAGTTAAATATATTTTTACAAAGTTAAAATCAGTGGTGGGATTCAGCTGGTTTGCACCAGTTTGGCAGAACCGGTAGCTAATTTTTTGTTGATTTCGGTGAACCGGCTGAAGCCATAGCCCTTTTTGGTAAGGCCCAGAATGGACCATCGGAAGTGCATGGACGCCACATCCAGAAGTCCATTCTCAGCCGCGGAGGCCTCCCAGGCAAGAATGGCCCACCGGAAAGGCATGGATGCCACTTCTGGAAGTCCGTTCTGAGCCATGGAGGCCTCCCAGGCCAAGAATGGCCCACCAGAAGGACATGGATGCCACTTCTGGAAGTCCGTTCTGAGCCACGGAGGCCTCCCAGGCCCAGAACAGTCCACTGGAAGTGTGTGGATGCCACTTCCAGAAGCCCAGAACAGACTTCCGGAAGCAGTGTCCACACAGAGAACCAGTTGTTCAGGTATCTAATTTCTACCAATTTGAATGCATACTTACCTTAGTATTTATGTGCAATTTACAAGTAGAGAAAGAAAAAAGAGGGAGAGAGTAAAGGAGAACTGAGAATATGGCAGGAGCAAAGGTCGAGCATCTCTTCCATCAGTTTTTTGTAATACCCCATTTGGATAGAACAAAAGTTTTGTTTGGCCAGCTGAGGGTCTTTCTAGTGTTGCTTTTGGACTTCTATGATGAGATTGCAGAAAAGGTTTCCTTCTAACAGCTATTGCATGCAAATCAATTTCATAGAAAGAACACATGCTAAGGACCTGGGGACATTTACTCCAGTGTCAGCTAAACTTTCCAGCAAGTCATTTGTAGTGATTTGTGGATTCTGTTATTGTAGATCTAGCCAGTTTTCAGGCAGATCTAGCAGACATTTCTTTTAGTCTTCTTAATCTTGCCCTGGCTTTCATGTAACTTTCATTTCTCAATCATGTTTCTCATGGTTGAAACTGTTAGGTGGAAACATTCAGAGAATATTTTAAGGCCTTCCCCTGCTTTGTAAAGGAGAATTATCTTTATTTCTAAATGATGAGATAAAGGCTTAGAGGAGGCAATGGTTACTGAAAATAATAATCACAATCTGAAAGATTGGAAGAGTCAGAGTATTTATTCCCCTCAGAAATTGTCTTCATCTGGCTAATTGTAGGCCTAAAAAGTCAAGAATTTTGAGGTGTTTTATTAATAACTTCACAGAATCAACCAGGAGGGAGTCTGAACTTCAACACCTGCTATATTTACTATGTTCTTGAATCAGCAATCAACAGAATCTCAATAGTAAACATCATGTTTAACTCTGCACCATGAACACGTTATGGCATGATAACAATTTAGCCAGATGTGCCTGTATTTTTTGCATGCAGACATAGCTCCACATAGAAAATGTGATATCTGAAAGAGTATGTTAACCAAGAGGAAAGCTCATAATGGACATTAAATCATACAAAGGAACAAAATCAGTCCCCATTCTGACCTACATAAATCAAATGTTTTTAGGTGTAGTTTTCTACTGAAGTTGATAGTTCTCTTTGAACAGATTTAAGATGCACAGCTCTGTAGAAACTGGATGAAACTGATATGTGGTAAGCAAGTGTTAATGTTTCTCAAGCAATGTGTTAGAAATTATTCATCCCAGAAAGCACTACTAAATATTTGAGGTATGTTGATACTAGAATATTTTCCCTGTCTCTGAAAACTAAAGCTCAGATTAAATGCTTTAGTAAACATATCCTTAATATTCTGAATGTGTTTGCATAAATGCATGAGGTCTTCAAACTGAGCAGAGAACGGGGCACATAGACCTGCCCTGCTTCTCCCATCCCCCGCCGCCCTTCCCCTTCATACTGGCAGTTACTGGGAGATGTGTAAGGGAAATGTACTCATCCAGTACATATATACAGAGTTAGCCACACATTCTCCTCAGGTGTTCTCTTGAAACTGGGAAACTATCCAGTTTGGAGTGTACAAATGGCACCACTTAAAGCACACTCTTTCATACTCCAGAGTATCTTATGTCTAAACAAGCGATGACAGTGGCAGAGATGTGTGGATAGGGACCAGATGCTGAATCCCTTGAAAGTGCACCATTGGAAGGGAATTATAATCTGAAAAAAAAAAAGGCTAAACGTTTTGGGAAAGGGAGAACCTGGGAAAGCAGTCACATCGTTTTTCATATGTATTTTGCAATCTGGGTTAAAAAATGGGATTCAGTGTAGGAGATGAACAGGCAGAGCTAGGTTACATGTGTCATGAGTTTTAAGTTGTTTTGTTGCCACAAACAGTCCAACTCCAACCTCTCTTGAATTCTGTTGGTCTTTATATATGGCACCAATTTAGTATTGAACATTAGTTGACTAGATTCCTGTGTATAGGCTTGAGCAATAAACCTTTGAACTGCAACTTAACGTATGGTCCTGACCCTTTCACCTGATACTTGACATTAAAAAGAAATTTCTTGACTGCAAAACTGCAAGAAAGTTCATTTCCCCTTCTTCACTTTAAACCACCTTCCCATCAGTACTTCTGCTATTATCATATGTGATTATAGTCTATTCCTCCAGCTCTAAGCAGAAATAATTTTCTGATTGCCAGGAGCACAATAAAGCTCACAGACAATGGGACATAAATCCTGTTCAACTAGTTCACTTATTTGCCTTTTTTCTGATAAAAAGTTGCTCCCTAACTTTAATATTGCATACTCAATGCAATGCATTGTTGGTTTCATTGCCTTTTCTTGAGCCTGGGGAAAAGGAGAAGTGGGAGAGAACATTGCAAACCCCAAAAGGAGAAGCGAACATGAAGGAGCAGCTCCTTGGGAGCTTATTCCAGAGATCGGACTCTACCAACTCCAGAATAACCCCAGCTACTGAAGACTATGTTCAGTGGACTATGGGAAACCACATTTCCACAGGATTGCCACAGTTACCTTAGGTGATCAAATAGCTGTCCTTAGTTAATCAAACCCAAACTGGGTTTGTACTCCAACTGCAAAACTACCATTTACTGAACTACACAGGATTTTTAAACAAAGGCAGCCTACCTTTAGGACAAATGTCAGTGCATGGTTTACATGTCTTAATTCCATTTTCCTCTACTTCCATCTTGGGACTCGGACAGGCACGTACACACGAGCTTATATCAACCACAAAGTTGTCTAAAAGGGATAGAGGGGAAAACAATGAAAAAAAAAATCAGCCTCAAGCTGCAAATAATGAATATCCCAACTTCCATTTCAAAAGAGACAGAGTGGGTTAAGAGGCAGGACTTACATTTATATTAGTGCTTGGCATATTCTTTCCTGTGATGTTCTATTTTATTTTCTGAAATGTTATTCAAGCTCACATTCTCGTGCTTTACTGATAATTTAACATTCTTTACAATTTTATTTCCCAAGACATATTGATACTATAACTTTTTAAAATGAGAATAATATTTTGAAATATATCTGTAGTATATCCAATAGAAGCTATCAATTCTTACCATCACATAAAATAAAAACTACAGCAGGCTTTGAATACTTAGAATATTAGCAATCAATTTTAAAATGAAACCATCAAAATAAAATTTAATTTATATAAAATACATTTTATTAAAATAATTTTATTTCAATTAGTAAGCAAAATGTCCCCATAATATAAAGATAGAACTAGCTGCTATACTGGTCTACAATTATCCAACTGCTTAATTTTCAACTCTAAGAAACTCTAAGAAACTGCTTCAGAAGTGGGCAATCTTTTGTAACTAGTAGTGGTAATAATAATGCTAATAATAATTGAAACAACTTACATCCTATGACGATTACCACCATCATACAACATCTGCCTATCCCACGTCCTTGAGAAGGATTCAATTAAAAATGCCAAATCTAGTCTAAATATTTGACTGGCTGTGTGACCAACCATAATAATGATGCTGTAAAGCATCTGGGATATCAAGCAAAGTGAAGGAAACTATTGAAATTGAAGGAAAGTGAAGAAAATTGAGCAATCATTAAATGCTATTTCTAATAAAACCCAACAACTAGGGGATTTTAAAGACAATATTTGGAACCATAAATACCCAGATTTAGAAATCAAGCAATTAAGGGAACAATGAAAATTTCTTCTTGGAACAAAAGCTTTTACTGGTACTGAACTGCAAGATCTGGAAAACTATCTGAAAATTCTAATAATATTGGTAACAACAACACAAAACTTATTTCATCATCAAATAAATAAAATAAAATATCAAATTTTATTAGCATTCATCACCCATTACAATGCTGATAAAAGGAATAAAAATATTGAGCAAAATAATGTTGAACACTAGCTTTTAACTAAAAGAAAAAAAATATATTGAACACAATTTTCTATTTCAATGATGGAAACCTTTTCTTATTGCTTTTCAAAACTTGAGCTATAGGGAAAAGCTTCCACCACTGAAAAATATGAGTGGAAAAGAAATATCAAAATTCACAAATTTGCTAGCAGAACATACCAAACCACAGACACTGGCTGCTGATCCTACTTAACTAATATATAGCACAGCAGCTAACATCAGAGTTAGAATGCTGTAAAAAAGCATCAAAATCAATCACCAAAAGAGAAAATTCACTTGGAAAGAAAGTTGAATAAATTATGAATTGATATCAACAATCAGAAGAATTTGAAGGAAACCAAAATTGAAAAATAATAATATAAGGAATGTTTACATAAAAGATATAATCTTAGCAGTAAGACGATTAAAAATATCTCAGAAGAATTAAAATGAGTGACAGCTATTTCAAACACAACTGCTATGAAACTAGATTAAATCAATTTTAATAAAATCAGCAGTGTCAAACAATGAGCAGTTGTTTTATAAAACATTATTGTGAAATATTACAAAGATAGAATGTTTGTTCTGATAAAGATGAAACCTTAACATTTTGGAGTGCTATCCAAAATAACCCATAAGACCATAATAAAAAAATACAATTTGCAGGAAAGAGATTAAGAAGAATGTTGGCTCAATGAAAATGAATGACATGGTTATTACATCACGAATGATTAAAAGTAAGCAAAAAAAGTTAAAACCTCACCGTAAAAGAGAGAGAAGAAATACATTAAATTTGGCTTTAATTTCTGATGACCCTAACATTTTCATTAGTGAAATATTAAAAAAGTAGAAACATTAATTAATATATGACAACTGGTAGAACATTTTAATAATAAAAAACAAAAAGAATGGTACGTTTGGAAGCAACTATAGCAATTATGTCAATCATGTGGCATAATATGATCAACAATGTCCAAGCTGCTAATTGGCATATTAGTAACTACAATTTCAGGTTATATACTTTTTTAAAAAAAATTGGCATCCTTCCTGAACCAATAAACTGCCAAAATTTATAAGCAGCAAAACATCTGATTGATAAAATGATATTAAAATATTCCAAAGAAAAATCGACACTTAAAACAAGTGCAAAAATACTAAATTCAAAGTTAAATGGCTGAAATATAATCTAAGCCATAAATACATGGATAGTGTCAATAATCAAATATACTGCTGGTATAGTTGGTGTATATAGGACGCAGCTTAAATTGGACAAATTAAATCAGAAAACTTCAAAAAATGATGATAATGCATATGCATTGCATCTATGAGGTGGTGCTAAACAATTAAAATTAGCATGAAGAATTTGAGGGTGTTACTGCATGTAAAAGAGGCAATTGAGGAAAAATGTGGTTTAAATGCTTATTTCTAGGTAAACAAAGAGAAAATGGTTATCACAGTAACCAAGGAAAATTTAGATATCAGCTGGAACGTAAGAATCCTGAAAGTAACAAAAGAAAAAGAAAAACCCAAACCTGTAAAACTAAATTACTAGAAAACCACTTAGAAACCACTGCATAACCATTTTTTAAAAAGTTTAAAATAAAATGGACAAGACTAGAACTAGCCATGTTACAAAATGGCATGGCCAAGAAGGAAATACAGGGACTAATTTTTCAGCTAAAAAAAATAATACAAACATATGGAATTAAATCAAGGATTCAACATGCTGAAAAGAGTAGGAAACACAGTTTTTGTAAAGAATGAGATGAAACTGTAGACTATGTGATCAATCAATGGATGCAACAAAATTACTAATAAACATCATGACAGGTTAGCTACTATGATGCACTGGCATCTGTGCCAAAATTTTAATTTCCAAGTTTTCCCAATGATGTACAATTACATAATTGAAAAGGTTGTTAAAAGTGATGTTAAAGTTTATGAGATTTTATGAGAAACTTATTGTAACAACACAACACATACAAAATAATTGAAGATTATTTTTATAGATGTGGCTATATTCCAGGATAGCAGAATTAAAGAAAAATAATTTGATAATAATTACAAAATATGGAGAATTAATAATCAAATTGGGTTGATTATAGGAAAAAAACTTTTATTTTGTAAGAGATAATGGACAGCCATTCCTATAGTTATTGGCACATTAAGTGAAATAACAAAAAGATGAAACATTTTTATAAGAACTAAATATTTGAGTGATATCAACTATGGATTTATTTTAAAAAAATCTTGTTGGATACATGTTATATTTAATCAGAACTACTTGGATAATTCTTAGGTTCCTGGCTGGCACCTGAATTTCCAAAGAACACCAGTCACTGAAGAATATTGTTGGTTTGTTATTCTTTAATGAAAACAGTAAAATATGAAATGATGCCAAAGACTGTGATGGCAAAATGGCTACTTAAAATTTTTAAAAAGTATTTATCCTGGATTTTTCCCAAGAATAGGAGATCACAATTTACCCGAGGAGAAATCATAGTAGAACAAACATTTCCCTTAAGTGAAGACTACTAATTGTCAAATTTCCCAGCCAAATTTACAGAGGGAGTCCAGGATAGTTTGACTATTTTGCCTTATAGTCAGTTTGGCTGTATGAAGTAATTTCATCCAATATCATGAATAATTTTCTTCTTTAAAACCCTTTTTAAAATGTACTGAACATAAAAACTACTTGGGCAAGTGGATCATGTAACAAACAGAATTTATTAGGTTCCACATGTCCTTAATAGGAAAACTATATAATGGGCAGGTCTGAAATTTTTAGCCCATCAGGCGGCTTGCTGAACTTCTTTAAAATCAGTGAAAGATCACACTGTTGCAAATTAGCTGCAAACATGAACCAAGTTCATCTCCCCACAGTTGAATAAATAATTTATTATTGTATTATATACTAGACAACCCCTGCCCCGTTGGATCATCATTTCTGAGGTATTTCCTTACTATCAACAGAGAAAAAGAACGACCAAGTTGAATTTCCCTTGTGGGAAGCTGGCAGGGAGCCTCAGAAATCTTCCTTCCTTCCTTCCTTCCTTCCTTCCTTCCTTCCTTCCTTCCTTCCTTCCTTCCTTCCTTCCCTCCCTCCCTCCCTCCCTCCCTCCCTCCAAATCTTGTCAACTTCCCCATTTACTTCCTATGTGGGAAGTTTGAAGAGAGAGAGAATCGGTGGAGAAGCCAGCAAAAAGTTCAAAGTGACTGTTGCCAGGTGAGAGAGGGACTGAAGAGGTGCAAGGGGATGTGAATGAGGAATAGAACATGAAGGTGTGTTAGAGGTGCCACGGGAAGGGAATGTGCACAAGAAGTAATGTGTGAGTCATGGAAAACAAGTGAAGAACTGGCACATGAGGGGGAAGCATGTGTGTGGTTGGCATGGGCTAGGAATGGTGTGCAGGGTTTCTTCCTCCCTGTTCCTCCCTTTTTTTCCTTCTTTGCTCCCTTCCCCCCTCCTTTCCTTCCCAGAAGGCAGGTTAGTGGTTGCTGCTGGGTTGGTAGGAAGCGAGGGATTGCAAGTGTTGCTGGAAAACTATCACCAAGAGTTGAAAATGAAGCCTCAGGTGTCATGGGTCCCAGATTTTGGGCCCTTTCTATAAATTTCAGCTACACTGGATTAAAAATTGTTGACTCATGATGTACCACTCATCCAATTAAGGATATGCAATGTTTCAGATCTGATGCCCAAAATATGTTTCAGTATGTTCTTTTGAGCACACCTCTGCCACTCCTTAAAGCTGACTCTTTTTCTCTGTTCACATATTGTACAATCTTAGTGACTTCCTACAGCACGAGTGTCAAATTTGCAACATCACGTGATATGTCATGACGTATCATGACTTTTTT